AGGCCCAGCACTCTTTCCATTGTACCACCTAGCTGCACAAAATATATACAAGGTAAATATGAATAGTATTGGAAAGTGGAGGTACTGACAGCTGAAGGAATCAGGATAGACCTAACGTAGGATGTTGGAATAGTTTTCATTCTTCTTTGTTGCTGTTCCATTGTGTCTGACTCTTTGTGATTCCATTTGGAGTTTTCTTAGCAAAGATACTGGAGTGGTTTGTCATTCTTTCTCCAGCTCATTTTACAGATGAGGAAACTAGGACAAATAGGGTTAAGGAACTTGTCCAGGGTCACACAACTAGTAAGTGTCTAAGGTTGGATTTGAACTCAGATCCTCTTGACACCAGTCCAAGCACTCTATACACTGTGCCACTTAGCTGCCCCCAGCGTGTATTAGTTCTAGAATTATCAGTTATCCAAGTAGGAGGGAGAAGTACTAATCTATGAATGCAGAATGTTATATAGGCTCACAGTGTCAAATGGTTTTGCTTAAGCCTTTTGTCGTTAAAAGGGAAGGTCTTACAAAAGGGGATCTCAGTTGTCATCCACTCATCCTCCACATCTAGGCAGCTCTCTGCAGGTCCCTATTTCTCCCACCTTTTCTGCCATCTCCTACAGATGCTAAACTGTTGTTGCTATATAGATTTTTCTAATCATATCAGAGAAGGATTTTCAGCTCTTTTGAGCACATAGACAGGACCATCTTACTATATTGTAATTTAAACAGCATAACCACAGCCAAGGAGAAGCACTCAAACTTAGGTTAAATTCATATTTTAAAAATCCTTTGCTTCTGAGGTGATGCTCTGTGAGAACAGTGCCTTATCTGATTCAGAATGAAAAAAAAATCCTTCCAACTACTTTCTACTCCCATGATGCCATTAATGGTCCATTCCAATCATCCCCTCCAAGCGCTTCAGTGAACTAGAAGGGCAGGGATGTTGGGTCTTATATTCCTGGTAGCAACAAAATCATTGTTCTCCCTATACACGATGGTGGTAGTGGTGGTTGTGGTGGTTATCATCAATGTTGTTGTCCTTCAGACTGTGAAATGCCTTTATGTGTGAGTGTTGCCATGATCATTTTAGCTCTTGGTCCTTTCTTTCTAGTCATAGTAGCATTCAGGATTCACTAGGGATGCTACCAGACACTGAGACTAGAATGATCACATTTGTTACCGTTCTTGGTGATTTAAACAACTTTCTTTTAAATATGAGTTTCTATTTAACATCCTTGTAATGGGTAAGGTCCTTAGGATCCTGGGGCTGCTATCCTTTTAATCTTAGTTCTGGTCTTGGGCATGCTAGCTGATTAGTCTCTTAAGAATCAGACCTACCTACTCCAAGCTGAGAGGAAATACAGGCGTCTGATCCAAGAGGCTTTGCTCATTAAATCAAGGGGGTTGAAGGTGAATCAAATAACCCACCCCCTCCCCCCTCAAGATTTCAAGGCCTTCCAATCATTACAAACACATTATGTGAAACTGTTATTCTATTTTCCACTTTTTGTCTTTCCTTTGAACACTTCACAGTAATACAGGAATTTGGGTGTGAGGGAATTTTTATGTTTTTTTTTTAAGAATTAATAGACCACCTACTGCCACAAAGGACTTGAAGAGGCCTCAATAGGAATTGTATTTTGTGTACCTATAGGAAAAAATTTGGTCCTCTGTGTGGCATCAGTATAAGCATGTCTCATAGTTTGTGAATCATGACTCTTCCACTTCTTCCTGTAAAAAGAATTGTATTACCCTGGGCTTTTTTCCCAAGGACTTAATAGGAGGAGAGATTACAAGGTGGTTGCTTAATAAAGCAGAACAGAGGTGAGACATAAGCATGACCAGACCTGTTATAACCACATTTTCTAATTTTTATTCAGAGTGACTTAAACAAACGTCCTTTAAATATGAGCTTCAGCTTAATGTCTTTATCATAACTAGGGGCCTTAGAATACTTTGGAATGGTACCATTCCAAGGTATGGTGTTCTTTGTTTCTTGGTTCTATCCTGGGCTATATCTGGCTAACAAACTTTTAAGAGTTAATTAATTGTGTAGCAATCAATCTATATTGTTCTAGAGCAAACAAACTTTTAGCCAGATTTTAAAAATCTAAAATTTTTCTCATCTTGGCCTTCTTTTCCCCACTATTGCTACATATTTCTATGCATAAATTTTCCCCAAAATTTTAAACTATTTCTCTTTAGCTCAGATGATCATTTAACCAATGGTATTGACTGAGTACCTATTAAAATGCTTAGAACTCTTCTAAGTTCTGTGGTGAATATGGAATAGTAAAAGGCCTAGTGCTTGGCCTTGAAGGTATCAGGATCAGAGGACAGATTCACATACTTGTATTAATGGCAAACAATATCAAATACCTGTGTCAGTGTTAAAGGCATGGGGCAGACTAGAAATGTTCTGTGAATGGGATGATCAGTGAGGAGTATATCAGGCCGAGATTCCTGGAAGCAGTGAGACTTAAGCTGGCCTGTGAAGTATGGGTAGACTTTTGATGGGAGGAAGAGAGAAGAGAGAGGAATGAGATGAAATACAACATGGGGAGAGATCTGAGAAAGGTTCATTCAAGGGAAAAAGGAACCAGAAGTTTTGTGATTCATTATTCTCTAGGGTTTTTTTCTTGTTGTTTTTTTTCTAAAGGCTAATAACTTCAGGGTCTTAAGTCTTTTAAATGCATTTTGTTCATTTTAATAAAAACTATTTACACTATACTGTGAGTATGCATGGCCTTATCTCTGACAATACTAGAGGTATAAACCTAAGCACATCATTTAACCTCTCTGTGCCTCAGTTTCTTTATCTGTAAAATGATAGGGCATGACTTGGTCATTTTAGGGTCCCTTTGAGCTTTAAATCTATGATTCCGTGATGTGGGTCCTTGCTACACTAGTAATGTTCCAATCCCAAGTAATTTGTTTTGTTCATGCCCCACCTACCACAAATCCCCCAAGAAAATCTACTCAACACACTGGAGGCCTTTTTCTGAGTCTTTTAAAAAAATTTTTTTTTAACATTTAATGCAGCAATTGGTCTATCTACTAGTCATCCCTTACTCTTGATGCATGCCTAGTCCTTCCATTTTTTTTTTAATCTAACATTTCTTTGATGTTATGAGAGGTAGTGTGGTGTAGTAGAAAGAGAATCTGAATTTAAATCAGCTTCTACTATTTCCTGCCTCTGTGACCTTGGGCAAGTCAATTAGTCTCTCTGGGCCTCAGTTTCCTCATTAGAAAAATGAAAGGGTTTGACTGAATAATCTCCTAGCTTCCCTCTAGCTCTAAAACAATCATATCTTTTATTCTATTTCTTGAGTAGGTCATTACCAGTAATATGTTGCAGCCTGTTAGTGCCTATCACGTGCCTCTCCATTGCTTTTGGGTCACCCACCATTATTCTTCGTCAGATATTGTGTTGCTTCATTATTTAAAGCCATACTGTATCATCAGGAGAATTGTAGGGAAGGCAAAGGGGAAGGAATGAGCATTTATATAGCACCTACTATATGCCAAATATTATCTCATATTTTCATATTAGTATTTTTAAAGGGTGAGTTATGTTAAGGAAGACTGAAAGCGCATCAAATTTTCCCAAGTGCAACCTAGTTAACTGCCTTCCTCCAATGCAATTCTTGGTCCAACTTATTGTCCATCTTTGCCCACCTAAGATTTGCGCATGTGTAGGCAGACTAATTCAGTAAATTGCTCACCCAACTGCATGTCATAATAAACATAGCTAGCAGTTATATTGCACTTCAAGGTTTACAAAGCACTTCACAAATATCTCATTTTACCCTCACACCCCTGGGAGGTAAGTGCTATAATTATTCCCATTTTGCAAATGAGGAAACTGAGACAAGATGAGACAAATAGAGGCTAAGTGACTTCCACAGGGTCACAGATCTCAGAGCCTGAGGCAAGATCCAGTCTCAGGTCTTCCTGACTCCATGTCCAGTGCTCTATCCACTGGGCCACTTAGAAGCCAGTAGGATTCATAAGCAAGTATGCCTCATAATCTGGGCAATGGGCATTCATCAACCACTTGTTACAATATTTTGGTTCAAATGGTATGGATGAGTAGTATGGAAAACAGATTAGCAAATACATGAAAAACTACATGTTGTGAATTTGAAAGGCTATAATCACCTTTTATCTTGCCCTGACCTTAACTAACTACATTCTCCTCACCCACCAATCTCCAATAAAATATATCTCTCCACCCTGATTACCATTAATTTTCAATGAGAAATGGTCAACATAATCTTTAAGCTGGTCTTTTACTATGAAGTGAAAGGGGCTTTGAATTTTAACAATTCCTTTTGGCATTTACTTTAATGAAACTCATCATAATCACACTCTCCTTTGGCTTCGACAGCTTCAGGTCTCCATTTTTATTTTAGGAGATAAGAAATTTGGAAAGCTCCAGAAACAGACTGCTGGGCATGCTTTTGCGAAGTCAATTAGATTACTCCTTTATTAGTAAAATTATACGTGTCAGAGTAAAGAACAGGGAGAACTTGTTCCTGAGGACATGTCTCATTTCCTGGCAGTCACTTCTCTTCAAGTCTTGCTCATCAAAACCCAAGCCCTGTGAAATAGACATCTGTACTTATAGATCTGGAAAGGCATCATAGTGCAAAGGATAATGACCTTGGATTCAAGTTCCACCTGTTGATACATACTGAATGTGTGACCATGAACAAATCAGTTAACCTCGCAATGTCCCCTAGATACTACCCTAAAGCTGTAAGTTACAGGTTGCTGAGCTGTGAGAGTGAAGGGAGTTTCCACACCAGAAGTCCCTTATATTGATGAAATCAGAGGTCTAGACCCAAAATACCCCTTAACTCTGTGTGTGTGCAGGATAGGTATAAAAACATATGTATATATAGATATAAAAATATATATAATCATAATAGGAATTATCATTTTCTTCTTAATTCCAAGAACCCGACTTTGTTCTAACTTTCTCTTAATGCTTACAGGTGGTAGTGGAGGTCAGCAGTGAATTCTGGGTAGAGGTAATGTATGAATAAATTATTTTGACTGAAATACAGATTAAAACAAATGAAACACAAAAAATACAGAAAAAAAAACATGTAACATTAAAGTTGAAAAGTTTATGCAAGTAAATGTTTTTTTTAGATTTCTGCCTAATTTCCAAACAATATTTGCAAACCAGATTTCTATACATGTCATACGGTAATTTGTCAAATGTATTCTTCCTTTTAATCATCATCTTCCTAAACAAATATATTAAACAACTGCGTACTCAGAATTCTTAGATATTCTGAGGTGTACAAAAAAGTATGAGAGTCTCTAATCTCAAGGAGCTTACAACCTTGTCAAAAATATTTAAGTACTCCTTTTGCTGACAAGGTCAACAAAAATTTGGGCTTTGGTCTCGAGGAGTTTTCTGATTTCCCTAGCTTAGTGTAAGGACATATATGTTAGCATAGAACCTTTTTAATTTCCTGGTGGGTTTTTTGAATAAGGTGAAAGAACAAAATGAAGAAGATGGCACAGCATTGCAGAAGCCCCTCAGAAGGTATAAACGTGAATGGGTCAAATTTGCAAGACCTTGTCGAGAAAGAGAAGACAATTCAAAGAGGAATCCGATTGCTACTGTAAGTTGTACATGAAATAGAAGTATGAGTACCAAAAAGATTAGATTTAATTGGAAATAACAGGAAGTAGTACGTTTATTGATCATTTAAAATAACAAAAAAAATGTGTTTATTGATTACCTCCTAAATGTTCAGTCTTGGCTTGGTATAGGAGGGGAGCCCAACAGAAGAAGACAGGGCCTCTTATCTCTGTCATCATAATTCAGCTGGGGAATGAAGACATGGTCATGAAACTGCTAGGGAAGGTTGCAAGGCTGGATGTGGCTAAATGCCAAAATTAGTGGTATGAATAATAATTGCTATGGAGTTTCAGGGAAGGGAAGAATCAAAATGAGCTGGTATGGTCAGTAAAAGTCTAGGAAGATGAGTACTTAAACTGAGCCTTGAAGAATGTGGAATTTTGGTAAGTGGAGGTAAAGTTCTAAGGGGATCATATGAGCAAAGATTAGTTGGAGTTGAAAATTAGCATGGCACATGGGGGAGATAGGAAGGAGATTGGTCTGGTTAGAATAGGTTTGTGTTGGGGAGTAGTAAAAGAGAGAGTTGGGTAAGTAGGGTAGGCCCAGGAACAGGCCCAGACTACAGAGGGCATCAAATGCCAGAATAAAACGAGTTTTATAGTCTGGCCTAATCCTGCCATCACACTTTTCTACTTGGCTATTATCACACAGGAATTAATAAATTTTAGCAAGACTATATTACTGTATTTAACTGGACTGTATTTGACCTCAAAGGCCATTTAATATAATCCCTTCATTTAGGAGGTCCAAAGAGTACCACAAAGAGTAAGCATCAGAGGCAGAATCTGAACCCAGGTCTTCTGATTCTAAAATCAATACTCTTTGTATGGCTTCCTGTCCCTTCTTCACACCTAACCCCTTGGACCTACAACCAGAGACATTACAAAATGCTTTTAAATAACTGAAAGATCTGGATTCATCTTTGTACATGTTTTAAAATCTCCCTGCCCTGTCTTTAACTTGTCGACAAAAGCAGACCCCTCACTGTAACTCTAGCTCCAATACACAAAAGCCTCCTTAGAAAGCCAAGGTATTATGTATGAAAAAACAAATGATCCCTTCTTATCATCACTGCCAGTTTACATGTGAAGTTCCTAAAGTTTCTCAGCATTTTATAGATGAGGCAGGAAGTAGGTGGAGACAATAAGCAAGGGTAGAGAGACTGTCCCCAAATGGAGAAGGGAATGATGAATCAGAGTCCCCAGTGAGAGGTGTTTGGAGGCGGGGAAAGGAGAGGAGAAGCAATTTGTAAATTGTTTTTAATTATGATCCCCATAATTTTTTCCTATATTTTGATGCAGATTAGTTCAGATTTTCAAAAAACCCAGAGAATTACGTATCATATCTCTGGAGTGGGAATTGATCAGCCCCCTTACGGTATCTTCGTTGTTAACCCCACAACTGGTGAAATTAATATAACAGCAATCGTTGATCGTGAGGAAACCCCAATGTTCCAGGTAAGTAATGCCCTAATACAGTTCTGAATTTCCCCTTCTGCGCTGTGACTGATGATGCCACTCTTCTTTTAACAATTTAGAAAAAGATATTGGTGCTTGCATTATAATGTACAATTAGTCAATCTATAAACTTACCAATTTAGAGTCATGGGCATTTCCTCTGATTTGAATGCCATTTTCCTTTTTTTCTAGATCAACTGCCAGGCTCTGGATGAAATGGGAAGAAATGTAGAGACACCTCTTGTGCTTACAGTCAAAATTTTAGATGTCAATGACAATGCTCCAGTATTCTCACAAAGTGTATTCTATGGTGAAATTGAAGAAAACAGTGCTGCAAGTAAGTCTTCCACAGGACCCACCATTCTAGAGTTCTTGCCCAAACTAGGCATTGCTGTGGTGAGCTAGATGGATACAATAAACTGCAAATCGTATTTCTCAGAGTAATCCAATGAAAGTAGTAAGGAAACATTTTTCTAATTTTACGAAGAAGAAGGTTCAGATGAAGTGTAACTTATCCAGGATCACATAGCAAAGTGGCAGGTGAACTGGCATAAGAGCTCACCATTCCTGAATTTCAGAGTTATACCTCTGATGTATGAGTAACATTCTCTTTGAACTGTATCAATAATATTATTGCATGTCATCAGCAGGATATATATACATATATGTGTGTGTATGTATGTGTACATATATATATGTATATACAGTCCCAGTGCTCTATCTATTGTACCACCTACCTGCCCATATATACCATGCATATATATTGTATATGCACATGTATATATAACATAGCAGATATTATACATGTATGCATATATACATATAACATCTTACATATTTACATATATAATACAGTTGATATATTTGAACTCAGGTCTTCCTGACTTCAGGGCCAGTGTTCTATCCAGTGCCACCTAGCTGCCCATATATATGTGTATGTGTGTGCAGGTGTGTATATGCACATACAACATATACTTGTGATACCTATATGTATATATGCTATATTATATGTATATGTATGTATATACATATAAGATATAGTTAATATATTTAAACTTAGGTCTTCCTGACTTCAGGGCCAGTGCTGTATCCACTGTACCACCTAGATGCCCATGTGTATATGTTTGTGTGCATATATACACACAATATCACATCTGTGTGTACATCTGTGTATATGCATGTGTGATATAGTAAATCTATATATACTGTGTATATGCACATGTGATGTGTTGTATATGTATATGTGTAATATAATATATTATAAGTGCATGTATATATACATATATATTATACACACATATACATATATATGTGTGTGTGTATGTGTGTGTGTGTGTGTGTGTGTGTGTGTGTGTGTGTGTGTGTGTGTGTATAGGCAGCTACATGGAGCAGTGGATAGATCACTAGGCCTGAAGTCAGGTAGACCTGACTGAAACAACTGAATAGACACGCGCACACACACACACACACACACACACACACACACACACACACAGAGTCAGACTTATAAGTCCTATATATATCTGTCTGAGACGTAGAAGGCCTTCTCTTCAAGTCCTGCTCATCTAAAATCTATGCCCTTTGAAATAGATATTTGTATTTCTAGACATGAAGAGACAATGTAATGCAGTAGCTAAAGGACCTGGCTTGGAACCAGGAAGACCCAGGTTCAAGTATTGCTTCTAACACACAACAGCTATGGGATCATGAACCTCTCAGTGCCCTAGGCAACTCTAATATTCCAAGTTGCAGAGAAATTGCCAGTCTCACTAGTGAAGGTAATTTCCACACCAAGAGTTCCTTATACTAAAGATTTCTGTCCTGATCCCTCTAATTTTTGGAGCTCTCTCCTTCCTCTACTGATCTTATATTTATTTATCTGCGTACCTATTGAACTATGTCAAGTCAACAAGCACTTATTAAGTGACTAATATGTAGCAAGGCAACCGTCCCTGCCCTCAAGAAGCTCATCATCTAATGGGGGGGGGACAGGGGAGGAAGACAACATCCAAACACTATATAGAAACAAAATATATAAAGATAAGGTAGAAATAATCTCTGAAGGAAGACATTAGGGTTATCAAAGGACTGAGAAAGGCTTCTTGCAGAAAGCAGATTTTTGTCTGGGATTTGAAGGAAGCCAGCAGGCAGAAATAAGAAAGGAGAGAATTCTAGGCATAGAGGACAACCGGCGAAAACACACAGAGTGAAGAGATGGAGTGTCTTGTACAAGTAGGCCAGAGTTACTGGATTGTACCTGGAAGGAGTTAGGTAGAAAGATTATGAAGGGATTTGAAAGCCAAACAGAGGCTTTCATATTTGATCTTGGCAGGTGTATGAAATTCAGATCAAGGAGACTAGGGAGAGAAAAAGGAAACAAGGAAGTCTAGGTGTCTTTCTAATTTGCTTTGAATTAATACTGACCTATAAAGGCAATGATAAGCCACTGTATTGCCTTAATAAGTGATAAAATTAGTACAGTGTCTAGCAGGGCTTACCCCCTGAGATGGGTATGTTTTTAAAAGTCATAAGGAAAAATGAATTTGATGGCCAGGAGCCAAAAATTCTACCCTGATACAAGATCAGAAGTGATAGTGAGTCAGGCTATTTGGTAGTACTGCCAAAGAAAGTAAACAATTTAGTCTATCATGGAACTATATTAAATGTTTGACTGGTCAAAGTGGTTTGCTTGAAGAGGACATGCTAGAACCCTTGAGAAAAACCTAATTAACCAGGCAACTCTGTGACCTGAAATATGCTGTCAGCCTGCTGAAAGTATAACCTAAATTTTGGTGTCTGGTCTCTACTGAAAAACAGTGGGTGAGAAGGAAGCAAAAAACCTGCCCATTTTATAGTTAACCCACCAATAAAGAGGATCAGGGGCTACTACCTGCCAGAAAATGGGACTGATACCTAGCACAGTGCCTGGCACATAGTAGGTCCTTAATAAATTTTAGTTGACAGACTGACACTAACCAAGGAAGGGTGAAAAGGGCTTTGCCAAGGAATATCAAAACAGGGTGGTGACAGCTCTTGTATTCAACAGCATAGAAACAACACATTAGCACCTACTTATTAAGAGTAATTAAAGTCAGAAATTTCAGATGGTGGTTTTGACTCATTTGGGGGTACACTTCATACCTTGCCCACAGTATGATTTGTGGTACTTGCCCTGAGTGCTCTGTTTAAGGGGAGTTAAGATAATTAGATCCCAAGAGCATAACATAGAAGGCTGATGGATACAATGAGGGATCTCTTTTTGAGAGGACTTTATAAAATAAAATAAAAGCATGTATAATGGCAGGAATGCTCATAATGGCACACATGCAAATATTTTTGATAAGGGAGTACTGCAGATATATCTGCTCTTCGATAAGGAGTGCTGCAGAACTTCACACAGCTCTGGAGACTCAATTATTATCTTCAGCATGACCTTTTATACCTTGGAAATCAGAAAATGCTACAAGTCATGGCTTGATTTATTCTTTTGTTGATTGTCTAGACTAAAGAAAGTGATAGAAAAAGAGTTAATGATATAAATTAAACTTAAAAGTGTGGCATGTATACTTTTTTAGGAAAGCTGGTTGTCAAACATTTACTGTCACACCCTTGGGTGTAGAGTTTAGGGAAGGCTCAATTATTTAAAGATAATAAATCAAGTAGAGTCTCAGACAAGTAAGTGTTGGATTAGATGACTTGTAGATGACCTAGAGATTCAGCGATCTATGACCTGACAGCAGACAGATGATACTCATCCACTTCTCACTATGATACTAAAATTGATTTCCCCAGAAACTCTAAACCATTAGGTTGCAAGCACAACAGAGTCAATGATAGCCATAAATAGAGGTCATTAGTCCAAAGAGGGAACAAGGAAAGTTATATATATTTACAGCTAGATGATATTTTAGCAATTATGTAGTCCAACCACATCATTTTGCAGAAGAGGAAACTGAGGCCTGCCAGGGATAAATGACTTGCCCAAGATCACACAGGTAGTAAGTGGTTTGGGTAATTTGTTGTTGAGGATGTTAATAGTTATCATTATTAAAATAATGCTAATTTTAGCAATAGTTAGTTCTGCTTGGTTATGTCCAAGTAAGGCAGAAGGTTGCACATTAATCTAAAGAATGAGAGTAGGAAAGCAGAGAACATATCTGACAATAATCCCCTTTGGCCTACACATACTGAAGTTTCCAGACAGAATTTAAAAGCATAATCTTCCTCTTTACTAAATTGTGCAAGACCTAATTGGCATGAGTGGGTTGTAGCAAGATTTACATATCTGGGATACATGTTTTCCAAGGCAAGAAAGAGTCAAGGCTGTTGGTTAAATGGAGTAATTAAAGGCTTTTGCTTTTAACAAAGCCTACAGCTAAATTCAAGACAATTTAAAGGCTGTGTCACATGGAATGAAAAGCTATAATCGCAGAAGGATTTAAAGACGATTATTAGCTTGGCCCGTGTTGTATGAAGAGAGCAAGAAATAACGGTTGTAAATAAAAACAGAGTAGATTATAGGATAAGGTAGAGTAAAACACACTCCCTCTAGGAAGCAAGATGTCACCTAGAAATCCCATTTTTCTAATTCAAATTGGTGTCAATATCTATTTGAAGAAGTTGCAAGTGAAAAACATGGGTGTTAGACAAATCAAACTAAGTCACCCCTGACAGCTGTGTATCTCCCTCTAGATAAGCTAGGCTGCTTGTTGAAGGAATTGGATCAAAAGATAAATAGACAGACAGATAGAGTTTTTATTCAGCACTTAAACCTATGTGTTGGGCATTATGCTAAAAAGACATACAAATACAGGAAAACAAGATAGCCCCTGACCTCAGGGAGTTTACATTCTAATGCAAGAAAATAACACATAAGAGTTAGCTGTAAAGCAGGGGTTCATACAGCACCATAGTGTGGAGATGGTTGGGAAGTGGCAAGGAAGTAGAGGTCTGGACCCTGGCAGAGTAAGACAAAACCTTACCTTTCAAGGCTTGGGAGTAGTGGGAGAAGTGAGCGGGGAGGAGGCAAAAGGTGGTATCCAGGGTTTCACTGGGAGATGAGGATAATGATCGTGGGGCTGAAGGCATGTGTGGAGACAACTGGGAAGTAGAGAGGATGCTTGGACAAAAGAAAAGAGAATTGCTTGACTATTCCAAGCACCAGCCCTACTATTCAAACCCACAGCCTTCTTCCCTTTCTTTGAGCTCCTACAGCACTTCTTAAACCTGCCACTCATTGGGTGCTAAGTCACAAGTTGTCATATAGTCCTATTTTAATCTTGATGTTGAATGTCTTCCTGCTTTCCACCCCTCCAGCTCTGAGTTCCTGCAGGGCAAAAAGGTATATTCCTTTTGTATTTACCACCTCTGCTACATTCCTGTTACCCACCTAGCACAACAAATGCTGCCCTCCCCCTGCCAAAAAAAAAAATACATTTATAGCATCAAATTGAATTCACTGGATGTGGAACATAGTTTGAATCTGGACTAAAATTGCTCCAATAAAAGTGATTTCAAGCCATTCTTGTCCCCTGAAGTAGAAATTTGACAAAAGATTAGGACAGGTTCACTTGCAGCTACATAGATTTAGTAGCATATTTACAATCACCAATAATCAAAAATAGCCACAAGGCTACTTCAATACGCCCTTGATTCAATTCATTAAACATCTATTAAGTGTTCTGGGTACTGTGCTAGGAGTTAGGGAATGTGCAAAATTTATATAAGACACAGAAATAATTGTGAAATACAATAATGAAAGACACATGCAACAATGAGGCACAATGTGCTATATGAGGTATGAAAGGGAAAGGTCTTTGTTCACTGGTGAAATCAAAGGCTTCATGGAAGAAGGAAAAGCATATGAAGAAAAAATTAAAGAAAAGGGAGCAGCATGTAGAAATAGAGCTGCCCTTGGAGTTAATTAGACCTGAATTCAAGTTCCAAATAGAGAGGACAACTCTCTGAGACTACAAGTAGCAGGTGTAATAGTCATTCTGGCAATGTAACAGTCCTTCTGGTAAGGCATAGATTAGCCACCTTTGGCCCTAAATCACAAAGGACCCTGAAAGTTATATTTCTTCCTAGTTCCAGAAAATTACAAATTTTTGCTTTTCATAGGAAAAAAAGATTAAACCAAGTCTTTCCCATGAGTTATTTCAATTAAATCTGCCTGAGAATATGACTAATGAAATCCTTCTTTGTCCTTCTTTGAAGTTATTTTTATTGCTTGAATCCCAAATTTAGAGACATTTCCACCCCAAATGTTCACATGGACTATTTCTACCTGACATGTGGTTGAACCTTCTGAGCTCTTATTGGTATGATCAGCCACAGTTGGACCCACTGTAACTTGACTCCAACATAATGATGTCATTCTGGTCCTCTTTGAGAATGAAGGACAGCAACTATTGCTTGAATCATCCAAGAAATTCCTCAATTCTCTCTCTCATTTTTCTTTTTAAAAATTATTTTTATTATTAACTAGAAAATCTTGCTTTCATTATCTAAATAATACTTCAACTTACATAGACAAAACCTTGTATATTCAAACTCACAGTAGTATTACGACATATTGGACATAAAATTGTGCTTCTAACAAAGCAAAATAGTCCTCAGTATTCTTGGTAGTGTGCAAAAGTCAGCCCTGGAGACTACCAAGTGAACATGGCAGGTGTTGTCTTAATTAATTAGGCAGTGAGAGGTTAAATGACTTTCCCAGAGTCATCCATCAGGTATGTATCAGAGGCAGGACTCACAGTCAGGTCTGACTTCCAGATCAATAGCCTATCACTACATCATTGTTATGCACATCTTTATTTATAAATGTTCATACAAGTCAGCTCATCTGACTCTCAGAATCTCAGAGCTGGAAGGGACCTCAGAAACCATCCCTGAACAAGGATCTCCCTTATGCCATCCTCAACAAGAGCTCATCTAGTCTTTGCTTGAAGATTTCTAAATCTTCTACATGTTGCTTTTTCAGCTATCCAGATCCCACGCATTTAATAACTTTTAAAATCTGACTCAGTTAACTCCTGAATATATTGTTATATCTGCAAAACATAAACAATAAATATTTTAAAAAGTAAATTAGGAACAGAATGAAATTTTGTCGATTCTTTTGTGTGAACATAACATAGCTCTGTAAGTATTCGTTTTATTCATTTTTATTCTTCCCTAGATACACTGGTGATGGTGTTAAATGCGACAGATGCTGATGAACCAAATCATCTAAATTCTAAAATTGCCTTCAAAATAGTCTCTCAAGAGCCTGCGGGGCAACCCATGTTCCTCCTAAATAGACACACTGGAGAAGTGCGTTCAATGACCAGTACTCTTGATAGAGAGGTAAAGTAAAAGCATTTTTGGAGACTTCCTTGCCAAAAGATTTCACTTGAATAAAGCCAGAACAGAGAATTCTCCCGGCTTACATTTCACCAAAACACAAAAAAGAGAAAGGAAGAAGTTAGAACAAGCCTGAATTAGTTAGCTTGGGTATGATTTTGTTATGCAAAATACAACCTCATAAGGAAAGAGAAACAAGTCACCTACATGCTGTGTAAATTTAAATATCTGAGTGGAGACAGAGCAAAGTATGAGCATAAGAGAGGAAGTATTGGACTGAGAACAAATCCTCAGGTTACCAAAGGAGAGGAGAGATCTTTGAACAAAAAGGAAAGATTTTCTTGGAATCCATTTCAAACCTTCCCTGGAATTTCAAACTGCAGTCCTCTAGTCTTCCCCATAAGCTGCTCACCACTACTTTCTTTTTCTTTGCCTAACTTCTTTCAACTCCTTCCCTGCCTCTTTTCTACAATAATGAACCTTCTTTATCACTCTCCTTTTCCCTCTTGAATTCCCTAGTTCTTTTCTCTGCATTGGATTCTGGAAATGGAGAAAAACAGGGAATCATTATACGTGAAGTGGAAAAATCAATTTCCTCCCTTTCTCCTCAGGGGTGCAGCCCATTACCTTCTGCCCATTCCTACTCAAAGAACACCAACTTGTCATGGACTGCCTGTTACACTGTGGTCTACAAAGCCCACAGGACAACAAAGGCGCCTAGAGCCTTTCAATGGAGCATCCCATAAATTCATAACCGTCACTCCCCAGACCACAAGAAGCAGCAATTAGAAAGTTACTTACCAAAGATACGTAGTGAAAGCAACTTCTGCTGTATTTTTTATGATGGCTGACTGACAATTTCCATAGTACAACCACTAGATATAGCCAAATGCTAATTTCTTGGTGAAGCTGAATATTAAAACCTCTTAGTCAATAAGAAACATAAAGTAATTTTCAATAACATTGTTACTGGACATGTGATTTCACTGATATAGAAAACTCCCACTGAGAGCTTCCCTCTAAGAAACTAGGTTGGTGCTCTCTCTGCAATTTATAGTCTCGGAGATTTGTTGGGGACCCTGAGAAGCTAAGTCATTTGTTCATGGTTTTACAGACAATATGTATCAGAAGCTGATCCTGAACATAGTTCTTCCAGACTCCAAGGTCACCTTGCCGTCTACTACCTACCATTGCTTTTTCAAAGCACTTTATTGTGAATACAATCCACACATTTTTCCCCAAATGTGGTTCATATAAATCCTTAGTGCAGCCTATTATCAGTGATATTTTTCAGTGTTTGACAATATAGTTCTTCCCTCTCAAAGAGTTCTTGATTTATACAAAAATATTCTTATTCTGGGTGTTCAAAATAAGATATTTTAAAAGTCTGAATAAATTATTTTCTTTTTTTTTTCCTTTATTAAATTTAGAAATACAGCAAGTATAGCCTGCGTGTAAGTGGTGCAGATCTTGATGGAGCTGGACAGGCAACTGAATGTGGGTGTCAAATTACAATTAAAGATGTCAATGATAATTTCCCAATTTTTAAAGAATCACAGGTATGTTTTTTACTTTTTGACAAACCTAGATAGATAGATAGATAGATAGATATAACTTTGTATTCCTCTCTGCATGTTTAGATTGCTAACCTTGCCTGGAACGTCCTGTTTTCAACAGTGCCATTTTGCAGCTCACTGGCACTGTGCATGGATTGCCATGCCTAAAGTCAGGAAGATTCATTTTCCTGAGTTCAAATATGGTCTAAGATACTTACTATCTATGTGACCCTGGGTAAATCACTTTACCCTGTTTGCCTCAGTTTCCTCATCTGTAAAATGAACTGAAGAAGAAAATGGCAAACCATTCCAGTATCTTTGCCCAAAAAAACCCAAATGGGGTCACAAAGAATCTGAAATAACCAAAAAGAATAAACTACAAAAATAACATAGCATTTTATATTCAATGCATGTTTTTTGATTGAAATTAATTAACTGACACCATTGTAATCATAGGTATGCATTGAGCAGTCTGGGAATGCCAATATATTCTAGGGCAGCATTCCCATTGATCCTTATATTTTTCTCATGGCGGGCAGCCCCAAAGTCCCCTTTGTAAGTAGAGCATCTCCACTTCAAAGAAGAGAAAATAGCATAAATTCCTTTTAGAAAAGGACTAATAATTTAGCCTTAATAAGTTCTGCAACTCTCTTTTCAGCATTTAATAAAGATTGAAGAAAATACTCTCAGTTCCGAAGTCATTCGGTTTCAAGTAACAGATCTCGATGAAGAGTTCACAGATAATTGGTTTGCAGAATATTCCTTTACCTCTGGAAATGAAGGAAATTGGTTTGTAATAGAAACGGATACAAAAACCAATGAAGGAATCCTGAAAGTGGTTAAGGTATGTTGCTTGGGGGATTAGTTGAAGATGACCTCTGATTTCGCTGGGGTAAGGGGTTCCTAGTGAGGGAAATTCCAATACAGAACAACTTCAATTTATACTTAAGAGAGTTGCTTGAGGACACTGAGAAGTTAAATGATTTGTCCAGAGTCACACCGCCATCATTTGTTAGATGTGGGTCTTAAAGCCACCTTCCATTTTGTGGAAAAAATACTAAAATTAGATTCCTAGCAATCATAAGAGCTATGACCTTCACAAGTGGTATTAAAATTATACTCTTAATTGAAACTACTACATTTCCCCAACAAATTCAAGTGAATATACTTGTTCAGTTATTTGTATACTATATTTATCTGCATACATGTGCATTATCACAAGAATTTAAAATAAAATCAATATATTAATGTCACCCACTGTAATTGTATTCAAGTCCAACATTAGGGAAATATGGGTTAAATTTTGCATTATGGATTGGGATGATGAGGCAATAAATGTCCTCTAAATGGGTTCTAGCTATATGAAATAGCTAGAATTAAAAGCACAAAAATAAAGACTATCCTTGGAAAGTGAAAATGTCCTAACTGAATCTCCGGGGGGGGGGATGGATAGAGAGAGGGGACTACCAGTGGAAAGGTACAAAGACAGGAGGTAGAATATCAAATACTCTAAGGATTAATAAATAGGTTGGTATGGCCAGATGTTAGAGTGGTGGAGGGGAATAATGTATAAGAAGACTGTAAAGATAAGCAGGAGCCAGGTTGTGCAAAGTTTAAAAGCCAAATAGGAGTTTTTAGTTATTCTAGAGGTAATAGGGAACTATTGAAGTTTGGAGAGCATGGGGTGACATGATTAAACCTGTACTTTAGGAAAATTACTCTCGCAGCTGTGTAGAAGATGGATTAGAGAGAGGACAAACCTGAAGCAAGGAGAACAATTCAAAGTCTACTGTATTAGTTCAAGCAAGAGGTATTCAGGTGAACACTACTGTAGTGCTTTTGTGAGTAAAGAGGAAGGGGAGAGGGTAGTGACAAGATTTGGCAACTGATTATATTAATGGGGTAAGTGTGTATGAAGAATTGGCAATGTCACTGAGGTGGGGAACCTCAGTGACTAAGAGAAAGGTGGTACCCTCAACAGATGAGGAAGCTCAGCAGAGGAGAAGGTTTGGGAGGAAAGATAATAAACTCAGTTTTGTACATGTTGGGTTCAAGATGGTTACTAGACATTCAGTTTGACTCACCCACCCACTAATTCATAGGATCTTCTTGACATATCACTTCTAGTTTGTCCCACTTTTATCCAATATTTCTCTTTTGATTATGGTATCACTTTCCATTTTGGTAATATAATCATAGGTTATCTCCAACCATTTATTAGCTCTGTGACTAGGGACAAATCACTTCATTTCTATCAGCTTCAGTTTCCTCATTGTAAAATGGAGATGATAAAATTTGCATTGTCAGATTCACAGTATTCTCAGAACCATAGAATACTAGAGCTAGAAGTGACCTAATCTGGCCTAGCCACCTAATTTTATAGGTGAGAGTAGGGCTGACTTACCCAAGATTGCCTAGCTAGGAAGTCATAAAACTAGACGACAATCCAGATTTTTTCACTTCAAGTTTAGTTTTCTTTGGGGAAGGCACTTTGTTAACCTTATGGTGCTATGTAAATATGAATTATTATCCTTACTTTTTGCATTTGTACATAAACATGAGCAAAAATAAGAAGGTATGATGAGAATTTTCAGGCTTATAAGGCTAGACAGCTTCTCCGAAGTCAATCAGACAAATTCCTATATTGCTAGGGTACCTGATAGTGTTTTCCAGGAATGGTAAATGGTCTTTCCTTAGGCTGCTGAATAAATGCCCACTTGTCCTCCATCCACCATGAGGATCATCTCATGCTTATCACATCTAAGAAATTCTGAAAGTCAAGACAGAGGAATTGCATGTATATATATATATATATCTGTGTGTGTGTGTAATGTATATGTATATGTGTATGCATATATGTGTGTGTATGTATATGTGTGTGTGTGTGTATGCAATTCCTCTCTCTCTCTCTTTCTCCATATTTATATATAGCCAGTAAGGAATCTGTGAATACTGGAAGGATACTTGCATAGCCTAAGAAGATACCTATTCTCCAAATACCATATATTAGACTTGGGTTTGAGGAATTTAGGAACAAATAAATCCCCCTCTCTGAACTGTGAAACAATCTCTTCATTTGGGTTGATACGCAAAGGACATGGATCCATAGCATATGACTACAGAGAAGTCTGATTCCCTTTCTATACCTGTATTGCCAAGAGGAAATAGCATAGGACATTGAATCATAAGACATGGTTTCAAGTCATGCCTTCTAACACTTAGTGTGTGACCACAGGCATATTCTTTTTCATATCTCTGAGTTCCTGCATCTGAAAGATAAGAATAAAAATAAACAAAAATTTAAAGTTGTCTATCTTAAAGGATTAGATATCATTAACACTTCTCTTTTTTTAAACATTTCAGGCTCTGGACTATGAACAATTTCAAACTATGCAACTTGCTATAACTGTTAAAAACAAAGCTCCATTTCACCACTCAGTTATCTCTCAATATAGAATTCAGTCAATTCCCATCACAGTTCAGGTTATAAATGTAAAAGAAGGGATTGCATTCCATCCTACTTCAAAGACTTTTACAGTACAGAAAGGCATAAGTTACAAAAAATTAATCAATTATGTTCTTGGAACATACCCAGCCATTGATGAAGATACTAGCAAACCTGCATCATTTGTCAGGTAAGACTAACTTTCATGTTAATGTTTGTTATTCCTTTAAACTATCTCAGTTTAATGCAATATCACAGATGAACGCAGGCCAAGATTTTCAAAATAATCTATTTTGCATTTAGGATCTTTCACAAATGTGGGGCATGGAAATTGTATTCATAAAACCTGACATACTCTCACATCTTATAGCTTAATAATAAGTAGGAAATGATATTATTTTCTTTCAACAAGTATAAAAGTTGTCTGAAGTTCTTATTTCCCCATAATTTTAAAGTATTTCATAAAGTAAGAAATATAATAAATAAAAACATAGCATAGCATTTACCCAATTATCTGACTGGATAAAACTTCTAATTAATAGAGGTTCAACTGTGATTTTTTTTAATGCCGACAAAAAAATTTTAAATAATCATTGGCAACTTGGAAAACACATTTAAATACTTCAGTCTTAATGAATAACCTTTTTCAATACAAATTTAATTTATATCCAAAATACACGTTTAAAAATTTTAAATTAGCTACAAATTCCAAATTGAATATTTGTAATTAAGTAACTTTCAGAAAAGGCATATAAGACCATAAGATCATAGATCTTCTAGAACTTGAAGGGACCTTGAAGGTCATGTGGGCCAACAGAAAAGGAAGTCACATCAGCTTTTAAAGTTTTTGAATGGGTTAACATTAACAAGACCTACATTTTATGCAAAAATAAATAAATAAAAACACTTTTAAGATGTTTGCACCATTTTAACAATTAACCATGTTTTCTATAAACTTTATCAATCCAAAAAAAAAAAGTCATAGACTGAGTTCTTAAGGCACATGGAATGACCAGAGTGGGGTAGGATTAATCAAGGGAAGCTTTCTGGAGGAGATGAGCTTTACTCAAGGTGTTGATGAGAGGATATAGATTGGTGAAAGGAGTGGAGAAGACATTCCTAGAACAGGAAAGGGCATATGTGATAAAGTGAAAGCAAGTCATTTAGGGAACAGACTAGATTAGTTCTTCTGGAGTAGGGTCTAGACAGATATTCCTCTGGAATCAGGAAGCAGAAAAAGAGGGGGAGAGAGGGATAGTAAATAATGAACATTGAGAGTCAGGAGAAGTTATTAGATTTTACTATAAAGGTTATGTGGAATCACTCTACCTTGTTGAGTTTGTGTCATGATGGAAATGGTATTGTATAGCATGAATTAAAAATTTAAAGCCCTCTGAACTTAGAATCAGAAGACCTAAGCTCAAGTCCCTTAGCTTTGACACTTACTAGTAGTATGACTGAGGACAGTCATCTAGTTATTTGAACCTCAGCATTTTTATCTTTAGGGCAGATAAAAGATATTTATTTGACTTATCTCTCAAGGTTGCTATAGTAAAAGCAATGTGATGCAACGGAAAGCTCACTGCATTTAGGGTCAGAGAGCCTGGCTTCAGCCTAGGCATCTGGGTGATAGAACAAGGAAGTCCAGAGTCAGAAAAACCAGAGTTAAAATTAATTCTCAGACACTTACTAGCTGTGTGGCCCTGAGCAAGCCACTTAACCTCTGTCTGCCTCAGTTTCCTTAACTATACATGGGATAATACTAGCATCTACCTCCCAGGGTTGTGGTGAGGATCAAATGAGATGATATTGGTAAAGCTCTTAGCACAGAGTCTGAACATAGTATACTTGCTTCCTTCCCTCATATCAGTCCCAGATCAGCCACTTACAACCTCTGTGACCTTTGGCAAGACATTTGAGCAAGCCACTTATCTCTGAATCTCATTTAACTCCAGTCCCAGGAATGGACTAAAATGACCTGTAAGGTCCCTTCCAGCTCTAAATTTCTGACTCTCTGTGAAACGAAATAATTAAATAAAGCAGCACTATATAAGCTGATAGTAACATTAATAAAGAGAGGAGTAGATAGAGAGATAGAACAGGTATTCCTTATGATCCTCCTTATGAATCAAATAAATTCTGCATTCAATATTCATCCCACATCTCTGCCCCTTCCTGACAATTATCTAATATTAGTCCTCCTCTCAACCACCTAGAAAAGCCCTTTAATTGTTTACAATACAGATATTTAAAGATATTAACATCAATTTTACTTCTTTGTGGTACAGGATTTAGTGCTTTGACCCATATGTTTTCCTTTTGTTTATGACAAAACAGACAATAAAAGGGAGATTTTTTTCAATTAATCAACAATATTGATTAATTTTTAATTAACATTACTATACCTACTATGTGCTAGGCAGTATGCTAATACAAAAAAGGAAATAATTCTTATTCTCAAAGAGATTATTTTCCACTGAGACAGACGTGTGTTAGTACATATATAGAAAGATATGTAGATATATACCCACACACATACAGAATAAATACAAAATCAATATAAAGTAGTTTATGTATATGCATACATATAAATATGCAGATACATACATATACATAATATATGCAAAATTAATACAAGGTAGTTAAATATCATAATTCAGTAGGACAGGGCACTAATAGTTGGGAATTGGAACAGGTTTCATTTAGAAGGTGATGTTTGAGCTGGAAAGATTCTGAGGCAAAGTTGGAAGGGCGTATGTTTTAGGATCTTTCACAAATGTAGCGCATGGAAATATGTATATATAAAACCTAATATGCTATCATATCTTACATCTTAATAATAAGTAGGAAATTATATTATTTTCTTTCAACAAGTGTAAAAGTTGTCACTTTTAGTCACTGCTAAGGCATAAAAAGGACAGCTAGGTAGTACAGTGGATAGAGTACTGGACCTGGAGTCATGAAGATCTAAGCTCAAATCCAGTCTCAGACACTTACTATCTGCATGACCCTGGACAAGTCACTTAATGTCTATTTGCCTCACTTCCTCATCTGTAAAATGGGGGACACACTGGAGAAGGAAATAGCCTATCTCTGCTAAGAAACCCCATGGGCAAGTCCAAGGGGTCACAACTGAATAACTGAACAACAACAAAGGTAAAGAAATAGCAGATGGGGTGCCATATGTAAAGAACAGAGCTATTTTGGCTGGATTACAAAGTGCAGGAAGTGGAATAATGTCTAATGAAATCAGTTGGGCCTGGATGTGAAAGGTTTTAAAAGCTAAACAGAGGAGTTTAGGTTTTCTCCTAGTGTCAACAGTTAACTCCTTGAGCTAATTGAGGAGGGAAATGACATGGTTAGAAAAATCACTTTGATAGCTTTGTAGATAGTGGGTTAGAATAAGCAGAGACTCACATCAGGAAGACCAATTAGGAGAACCTTATAATAGTCTAGACAAAAGATGATGAGGGTCTGAATGTGTTGGGTATGAGAAGAGAGAAGTCTGGTGTTAAAGATATTGTGGAGGTAGAGACAGCAATATTTGGCAACTGATCAGATATGTGAGATGAAGGAGAGTAAGAAGTCAAGGCTCACACTGAGGTTATGAATATAGGACACTGGAAAAAGGAGATGCCCTTAACAAAAACAGAGAAGTCTGGAAAGAGTGGGTTTGGAAGAAAAGATGGCAAATTCTGTTTTGGAGTGTTAAGGGTGAAATTTCTGCTGGTCATCCAGTTTGAAATGATCGACAGGCAATTTGTGATTCAGGACTGAAGATCAGGAAAAAAAACTGGAGCTAGACAGATGTATGAATCATCTTCATAGAGATGATAACTAAACCCATGGGAACTGATGATGTAAGAGAGACAGGCAGAGGAAGGAGTAGAGAGACAGAGAAAAGAAGGGTAGAGAGAGAAAGAAACACAGAGAGGAGACAGAGAGAGGAAAGATGGAGAGAATAGACAGAGAAGAGAAACAGATAAAGAGTAGACAGAGACAGAGAGAAAGAGAAAGAAAACAGAGAGTAAAGACAAAGAGAGAGACAGAGATAAAGAAGGAGAGGGAGAGGGAGAAAGAGAGAGAAAAGGAGGAGGGAAGAGAAACAGAGAGAGACAGAGAAACCAAGAGACTATGAGAGTCAAGAGAAAGAAGAGAAGAGAGAAAAAGAGACAGAGGGAGAGAGAGAGAGAGAGAGAGAGAGAGAGAGAGAGAGAGAGAGAGAGAGAGAGAGAGAGAGAGAGATGGAGAGGTGGGAAGAAGGGAGAAAGGCAGAAGAGCAGAGTATAGAGAGAAGAGAAGAGGGCCCTAGACAGAGTCTTGGGGTGATACAGATGAGTACCCAACAAAGGAGGGGTCAAATAAGTAGGAGGATGTTAGCAGGAGAGATTAGCGTCAAAAGAACTTAAAAGAGTATACTGAGAAGGAAAAGGATTGTCAAGGTTATCAAATGTAGCAGATAGGTGGAGAAGGAGTAGGATTGAAAGAAGGCCCTCAGATTTGACAGTTAAGAGATCATGGGCAACTTTGGAGAGGGCAGTTTCAATTGAGTGATGAGGTCAGAAGCCAGATTGTAAAGAGGTGAGGAGTGAGTAAAAGGAGAGGAAGTAGAGACAAGTGGAGGAATATTATTTTTAGCTGTTTGTCTAAAAAGGGAAGGGAAATATAGTAAAATAACTTGAAGAGATGAAAGGATCTAGTGAAGATTTTTTCCCCCCAGGATGAGGGATTGAAGGCAGTAAAGAGGGAACCTATAGATTATGAAAGGTTCAAAATGAGAGAAAAGAGGGGTGACTGAGGCAGTAATCAATCTTCATAAAAATTACAGTAACCTTTGATAAAAGATCTTGCATAGAACTAATTAATGACTTAAATTGTTTCATTTTGGAAATGTTTCATCAAAACCAACTTTTCTTTTTAGAAGCCAATGTTATATCTATAATTACACCATGAAACAAAATGATTGCTTTCTAAAATCATTTTACTTTTTCCAATGTGGATGTGGGCAAGGTCATCACATCCCTCAACAAACCCACCTTTAAGTTATGTGGCTGATTACTATTCCAATTATAATTCATTGACATAAAGAAGAAAACCAGGAAGTCAGGCCATGGTAGACATTTAAGGATTATGAAACTATATTTCTCAAATAATTGATAATATTATTTTGTTTGAGTTCAATTTTCTTTTCTCTAGGGTTCAGATTGTTGTTTATCATTATTATAACAAATAAGGTCTCTTTTTTTTTGTTCTTTCCATTTATATCACTGTAGTCATTACACATTATTATTTTCCTGGCTTTGCTAACTTTACTCTGTTTCCATTCAAATCTTTCCATGCTTCTCTGGAATCTTCATATTTCTGTTACTTTTCTCAAATGTTAATGTTACATAGTCAATGTGAAACTACAGTTTTCAACTGAGAATATGTAGCATTTTATAATTGCGAGAATCCTCAAGGGTTGTTTTTTTTTTCTGTCAAAAACAGATATGCAATGGGACGTAACGATGGCAGTTATTTAGTCATTGATTCAAAAACTGCTCAGATTAAATTTGTTAAAAACCTTGATCGAGATTCAACGTTCATAGTCAATAAAACATTAACAGCTGAGATTCTGGCAATAGATGGTAAGCAAAAAAAAATTTAATTATTTTTCAAAATAGCAATATACTTTACTTAAAATGAAAGATTCAGAAAACCAGACCAGCAAAGGCTTTGGTTCCCAAAGTGTGTTAAATAAACAAATGATGTTTCCTTTTCACATTTGTTTCAAATACTATGATACAAGGTTTTGGAGGAAAAAAAAACTGTCATAAAAATAAAAGGTGGAGTCCATTTTCCTAGGCTACACTATTGTGAACATGTGACTGTTTTTTAAGAGTATTCTATTTGCAGTAAGCGTATCAGAGACATCCTTCATGAAAGCAGCATGATACTGTGAAAAGAGTAGTGGCTTTAGAATCAGAGAACCTGGTTTAAAAGCAAGCGTAGGAAGATATATACCACCTATGTGAATTTGAACAAGTGGCTTAACCTCTCTGGGGCTCAGTTTTCTCATCTGTAAAATGAAGGTCTCTTCCAGCTCTAAATCAATAATCCTATGATCCTTGCTTCAAAAAAATGATAAAATAATATACAACATGGTTTAGTCATATGAGCTGCCCAGCTGGGAGAATATAAAAAATCAGTCTGATTTAGAAGGTTGAAGTATTTTACAATTTTAGTATTTGCTAGTAAAACTTCTCATGGTCAGTAGACATGCCTTTGCATTTTCTGCCTTTTACTTTTCTTTAACTCCACAATATTATTGTTACAGATAACACAGGGAAGACATCAACAGGCACCATAACTGTTAGAGTGCCTGATTTCAATGAAAATTGTCCTACAGTTTTCACTGACAAGCAAACAGTTTGTCGTACATCTGCATCAGTTATTGTCACAGCTAGGCCTCTGCCAAACCAGCCAGACACTAGACCCTTCACATTTTCCCTAGTCGAACAGCCTCAGGAAACCCCAGCCACGTGGAGCATTACAACAATAAATGGTAAGATGAATTTTCTTCTTTTAATTTTTTTCATTAACAAGCATTTCATTTCTCTCCTTCCCACCTCTCCACCCCAAATGAAATGAAAAGAAAAATCCAACCCTTATAACAATTAGTCATAGTCAAACAAAACAAATGACCGTGTTGGGCTGTCTGAAAATGTGCATCTCATTCTGAATCTTGAATCCATCACCACTCTGTCAAGAGGAAGTTAGTGTGGATCATTAGTGGTGTTATCAAATGGTGGTTGGTCATCGCACTGATGAGAGTTCTTAAATTTTTCAAGGTTGCCTTTACAATGTTATCATTATCATATCAATTATTCTCCTGCTTCTGTTCACTCTATCAATTCATGTGTCTTCCCAGGTTTCCCTGAAATTGTCTCCTTTGTTATTTCTTATGGCAAAATAATATTCGATTAAATTCATATACCGTAATTTGTTCAGCCAATTGGTGAGTGTTCCCTCACCATCTGGTTTCCAGATCTTTACTGCCCCAAAAAGAATTACTATAAACAGAAAATGAATTGTCCATTCACAAATATAAACATGTTTCTTGCTCATTTCCAGATCATTGGCAAGAGCTCATTTAGTAGACCATTTCCAGGAAACCCCTTAAAGATCAAATATGACCATTCCACTGCCTGAATGGGAGATAGCTTATCTTGTTAATGCAATGTTCTCATCATATCACTTCTGTAGTTTAAAAAAAGAAAAATTAAAGACAAAAACCTTCACTGGCTCCCCATTGCCAGCCAAATAAAATCTGGTGATTTGATTTATGCGAACCTAGCCATGTGTCTTTTCCAGACTGTATAACAGAAGCAACCAGAATGTAATACCATTTCTTACACGTACTAATCTCTTTCATTCTTTGTTGATGTTGATGTCCTGCTCTATGACTGCCTCTCTCTATGCTTTCCCTGGTGATGTCATCCACTCATGTGGCTCCTCTTGCGCCATCTACACACCCCAACCTCTCCTTACATCTCAAGATATGTGCTGGATATATCTACCTACCTGTAATGTTGGCATATCAAATCCAATAGGTCCAAAACTTCTTCCCTAAATTGAACCTTCCCCCTAACTTTTCTGTTTCTCTTGATCATGCCACCCCCCTCCCGGTTACCTAGGCTCATAACCATGAAGCCATCTTCTACTCTATCCCTTCTACCACCCCTTATATCTAATCAATTGCCAAGTCTTATCAATTAGTCCTCCCTTCACAATATCCCTCTCACCCATTCCCTGCTTTTGGCTCCTAACAGGAATGCCTTACTACGTACCTTATCTTTTTTTCACCTGGATTACTACATAATCCTCCTAACTGCTTTTCCCAGCTCTAGTCTCTCCTCCTTCCAATCCCTTTTTCCATACTACTGGTCAAGTAATATTCCTGCCTTACACCCACACATACAAAAATATTTACAGTAGCTCTTTTTGTGGTGGCAAAGAATTGGAAATTGAGGAGATGCCCATCCATTGGGGAATGGCTGAACAAGCTGTGGTATACGAACATAATGGGTCACTATTGTTCCATAAGAAATGATGAGCAAAAAAAAAAAAGAAGATGAAGAAAAAGAAGAAATGACTAGCAGGCAGATTTCAGAAAAACCTGGAAACATTTGCATGAACTGATACTGAGTGAAGTGAGCAAAACCAAGAAGGATGAGCCTTCTGAATTAAGTTTAGACAGTTTTTAGTCTAGCCTGTCACAGGGCAAGAATGCTAAGCCTTTCTAACTCTGTAGGACCCACAATACTTGGCATGTCACTGGTACAGCCTTGTACATCAAGGGTTAGCTCTATACCCCAATGAGGTAGGAGAGGAGGACTTTACTAGTGGAACAGCTACTTTGGCTTCCTTGAATATTATCATAAGAAGACAATTTTAAATGTGTAACAACAATCATTATCTCTTATTGCTTTTTTTTCCTCTGTAGATACCTCTGCAAATCTGAGAGCCCAGAAAGCACTATCTTCTGGAACACATCCACTTTCTCTCATAGTTACAGACAGGGAAGGTATAAGTTGTGAAATACCAGAGACTCTGGAATTACGAGCCTGTGACTGTGATGAGAACCAAGCGTGTTTTAATAGGGTTCCCTCCCCGAGTGTCAAACCTGATGACACTAACAGGCAGACAGGGACACCATCAGTACGCCTTGGTCCTGCTGGCATTGGTCTGCTCCTTCTTGGCCTGTTGATGTTGCTGTGTAAGTATTACATTCCATTATTCTACTCTAGTTCTAACATGGAAATTTAATTGAGTATCTCCAAGCTTGCAAAATGGAGGAGCTCATTTTGAAAACTTCTGAACGCAACATTTTTGTATAGAATGCTTTTCCCCATAGTGTTACCTACATGCAGGAGCTGACTGTTGTAACTAGCTTGCACATAAAACATATCTATCAATAAAGAAAAAATCAAATGCTTATTTCAGTAGGAAGAACCATGACCATTTTCCAACATAAGTACTCACTGGGGGAAATGGTCTCAGGAGAATTTGAAGGTGTGGCTTGTCATTTGACAATAATGTTTTATCTTTTCACCTCAAAGCAAATGATGTAGTTTACCCATGTAGGCAACAACACAAATTATTTAGCTCATGGTATAGCAAACAGAACAGTGGATTTGGAGTCCAGAAAACCTGGATTCAAATCCTGCTTTAGATACTCACTAGTTGTGACACACTGGGGAGAAAAAAATCACATAAGCACTCAGCCTCAGTTTCCTTTTCTGTAAAATGAGATTCATAATACTTACTATGACAATGCTAGGCAGCTAAGTCATGTGATACACAGACAGCTGGGCCTGGAGTCAGGAAGACTTGAGTTCAAATTATACCTCAGACATTTGAAGCTGGGTAAGGCATTTAACCTCAATTTGCCTTAGTTTCTCACCAGTAAAATGAGGATAATAACAGTATCTGCCTCGTAGGGTTCTTACGAAGATCAAACAAAATATTTGTAAAGTGTTTAGCAAAATGTAAGGTACTATATATTATTATGAGCTAACTACTTGTTTAGTGAATTAGTTATTATTAGCTAGGAACAAATGAGATTACGCATACAAAGTGCTACACAATGTCGCTATTATAGCTCTCACTGGCTTCTTTTGGATGTTCAGCTATAATTTTCAATTAACTCAAATGACCAATTTTTTTTCCCTTTCTTGTAGTGGCCCCCCTTCTGCTACTATTTTGTGACTGTGGAGCAGGAGGTCTGGGTGGGGTTGGATCTGGATTTGTTCCTGTGCCAGATGGGTCAGAAGGAACAATTCACCAATGGGGAATAGAAGGTGCCCAGCCACAAGATAAGGTATGTATTTACTTTGTAAAATATTCACTTAGATGTCAAAGAGAAAACCAGATTTGGTTTGAGGAGGGCAAGAGAAGAAGGAAGTATGGGGAGCAAAATGTAAATGGTTTGGGGCTCTCACCATTAGACCTGAAGCTGTCACTAGGTCTCATAGGGTTTTCTGTTCTTGAGTGAAAAAATAAGAGAAATTATTACTCCCATAAAAACATATTCCATGTATTTCCATCATTTGTAGAATGTTATTTATATATGTATATATATATAATTATAGAATCATAGCAATTCATTTTAAAATAATCATTTTTCTGATGGTGATTTGTAGGAAATCACAAATATTTGTGTGCCTCCAATAACAGCCAATGGAACTGAATTCATGGAAAATTCTGGTAAGTGAATATTTACACATTTTTTTTCCTAGACAGTAAATTTGCATTATGTGAGTTGGTTTACACAACTATGTGCTCTATTGCCCTTTCCCATTATATTTCTCACTGTTATCTAAAAATGAGAGGCAGCATGTTGTAGTGGATAGAAAGCCAGTCTGGGAGACTGGATCTACCCAGTTGTGACACATACTAGCTGTGTAACTATGATCAAGGCACTCAAACTTCTCAGCACCCTACTAGGCCATTCCCTAAGACCACAAACTACCAAATAAGTCCTCCTGGATTCCATTAGTATCTCAAACTCAACATGTCTAAAATATAACTCATCATCTTCACCAACTCCCCAAGTAAAACCTGCCTCTCTTCTTAACTTTCCTATTTCTGTCAAAGATACCACTATCCATCAAGTCACCCAGTTTGCAAATTTGGAGTAAATCCTGACTCTTTGCTCTCCTTCTGTCCCCATATCTAAATGAGTTGCCAAATATTGTCTCTACCCGGCAGTGTGCTGGTAAATTTTTAATGCATACTTTAAGTTTAAACTGCATTACTAACATTTCCCCCTTCACTTTCTTAAGTCTAGATAACCAACAAAAAATAAAGCAAGCCCTGATATTGATGCGTTTGCTGATTTCTGACTTGTAAATGCTCATATTGAAAATTTAACAATCAGCTCCCATGAGCTGGATCAAGCTTACTCTATCACACCACTGCTGTTACCTCTATTTCATCTCTCTCTCTCTCTCTCTCTCTCTCTCTCTCTCTCTCTCTCTCTCTCTCTCTCTCTCTCTCTCTCTCTCTCTCTCTCTCTGTCTCTCTCTCTCTCTCTCTTTCTCTCCCTTCCCTCTCTCCCCTACTTATAGGACTATCACTCTACTTCAGATTGTCATTAACTCTTCTATAGACTTCCATGGACTATTGCAATGGCCTCTACCTATCTCCCCTCTTTCCTTTCACCAATCCATCCTCCAAAAAGTTGCCAAATGACTATTCCTACAGTACATGTCTGACTGTTCTACTCAGAAACCCTGATACTTCAGTCGTTCCCTATTGCTTCTTTGATAAACTATAAATTCTCTATTTGAAACTTAAAGTCCTTTCAGATTGACTCCAGCCAACCTTTCAAGACATGTCCCACATCACTGCTTTTCATGCAGTCCACATTCCAACCAATTGACCTACTTGCTATTTCCCAGACACAGCATTCCTTTTCCCACCTCCATGTATTTGCACAGGCTGTGCCCCCTATGCCTGGAATGTTTTCTATCATTATCTTTATGCTTTGGAATTCCTACCCCACTTCAAGTGTCAACTGAAGCGCTACATGAGGCCTCTCCTGAATTTCCTAGTTATTAATACAACTAGGAGCCCCTCCCAAAAAAAAGTATATTTATTTTGTAGTTATTTTGCATTTGCTTATCCTATGTATATGGTTACCCCACCCTACTTCAGGTAAAATATAAGCTTGTTGAGAATAAGGACTGTATCATTTTTTGTCTTTGTATCCCCAGCTCTTAGCACTGTCCTACGTACATAGATGAGGCAGCATGGTACAGTGGAAAGAACACTGGTTCTGGAATGAGAGGATTGGGGTTCAAATCCTGCCTGTATGACCCTAGGCAAATTTCTCTGTGATCCTAAATCTCAGCTTCCTCATCTGTAAAATGAAGGGGTTGAACCAGATGGCTACTAATGTCCTTTCTACCACCAGATCTATGATCTGAAGTTAATCAAGGAGTTAATCAAGTAGGCAGTTAATCAATGCCACATTCCCACCATTTCCATGCCATGCTGGAACTCAAGTATCTACTACCCTTCCTCCCTGCCTACCTTTCTAATGTTTCTTTATGTGTTTTCTTCCCCCTATTAAAATGTAAGGTCTTTGAATATCCTGAAATGAGGAATTGATCTGAATCAGTGGAAGAAATGACCATACCAGGAGTTCTCCAGATTAACAAATTCACAGGTCCAGACCAAAATTATCTTTTAAAACAATTTTTAATATTCAGCTATAGTTTCCAATTAATTTTAATTTCTTCTAGAGTTTTTTTCCTAGTGCCCCACTTCAGCTTCTGACAAATAGCAATAGAATATGCTTATCCTCTTTTAATACAGAATTGCATTTTCTCTCCCACTGTGGATTTACTTCCTGAATAATAACCCCAGCAACCAAAGTCAAACAGCAAAGGGTGATAATCCATCAACATCACTGAACATAATTTTTCCTTCATTTTTAGAAGTTTGCACAAATGCCTATGCAGCAGAGACGGTCGTAGAAGGAACTTCCGGCATAGAATTAACGACCAGACTTAGAGCAGCTTCAGGGTCAGGAGGAACCACAGGCCTGGGAGGGGCTGGGTACTCAGGAACAATGAGGACAAGACATTCCACTGGAGGCACCATTAAGGAATATCCTGAAGGAGCCATCAATATGACTTTCCTGGACACCTATTTCTCTCAGGTAATTGGGTCAAAATTTTTGTAGCTATGGGATAAGAGATCACATTGAAAGTCTTTTCTTTGGGTCCTAATCTGCTTTTGTAATGAGCTTTACCAAAAGCTCAAATCTCAAAACATGTTTTTAAAATGTGTTTGTATCTAAATTAACTAAGATACTAAAGTGTTAATAATGCTGGGGCATGGTTCCTAATGAGGTCAGTGTTTCAGGTTCAGTCCCATGTGGACCAAGAGAGTTTCATGGAAAAACCCAGCTCTGATTGGTGAGCTTTCACCTAATCCTGCCCAAAACCAGACCTCCGTGCCACTTTCCTGCCATTGCCACAGTGTGCTGAAACACAGGAACCTACTCCCCACCCTTTCTCATGTTCCTTTATGTGTTTTCTTCCCCCCTTAAAAAGTAAGGTCCTTGAGAACAGATACTATTTCGCCAGCTTGTATTTGTATCCCCGGCACTTAAAAAGTACCTGCCACATAGTAAATGCTTAATTAGTGCTCTATCATTAGAAAAATCATTGTACTCTGTTAATGTTTTCATTAATATACCAGAGAGATAAATGAAATTCAGTGCCCTCTTACTAAGGATTACTGCCCTAAATAGATTCCTATAACTAAAGAGCCTGATTTCCTTATATTTGGAGAGGTGTGTCAGTTCAGGTATATATGATTGTATAGACTATAAATAAACTCAAATCTTCTTGTTGGTTTTGGAGTCAGATGACCTAGGTTCAAATCTTATCTCTGACACTACGTGTGTCACTTTGGGCAAGTCATCTCACATCCACCAGCCTCAGTTTCCTTATCTGTACTATGAGAGGGTTGGAATAGTAGTCATCTCTAAGGTCCCTTCTAGCTCTAGATTCGTGATCCTATGATCTTGCTCTGAACCACCTACTGAATATAAACAGTGCCTTCATGAGGTAGGAAATTTTGCTCTGTATCAATATCAACCCCCAGTCTCATAATTAGAGCCATAGAAATATACAGTTAGAAGGAGTCTTAGAGATCAGCTAGGTCAAGAAAGAATGCTCTCTACTATCCTTGACAATGAAAAAGGACTGGATTGAAAGCCAAGAGACCTAGGTTCTAGTCCTGATGTTACCATTAACTTACTGTGTGACTCTGAAAACTCATTTAGCCTCTTTTGGTCGAATTTCTTGTCCTAATATCTCTAAATGGTCTAAAACTGTACAAGTGTGATTCTGGTACTTAGTCCTGCAATAACTTCTCCTTGAATACTTCTAGTGATAAGAAAAGAGCTCACTAACAAAGCAGAATGCTGCATTTAGGAATAAACATAATTGTTAGAAAGTTTATTCTTTTATCCTATAACTTCTACCCATTGGTTCTTCTTCTACCTTCTAGTATTACACAAGATGTCTATCCTCTCTTTCATAAGGTGACTTTACAAATACTTGAATACAGCTGGCTTATCCTTTCTAAGTGTTTTCTTTTCCAAACGGAATATTCTCAGTAGACTGAATCATACCTCATAATGATATAGTCTTGAGGCTTCTCACTATTCTAGTCATCATTCTCAAGATGTCTGCTAGTTTGTGAGTGCCTTTTCTAAAATATGGCAGCCAGGACTGAACACAGTACTCCAAAGGTGGGCCAACTATCCCAGAGTGCAAAACAACCCTAGCCTCCCTAGGGCTGGACTCGGGGTTTCTGTTGAGGCAGCTAAGATGGCATTAGATCTTCGGGCTGCCCTGTCACACTGTTAATTCAGATGGACAAGAAAAACAAAAACAAAAACAAAACCTACTTACTTCTAATATACTGTCTCTTTCAAAACCTGACTTCCAACAGTAAAAAAAGAGATTTTAAAAAAAAACACAAGCTATGTGAAATCTAGTGACTTCAGTGTTCCCACATAACAGCAGTGGGTAGCTGGTATTAGGCTTAATAAGTCCTAGAAACCTCTCAGTCACATGTCAACTACATAATCCATGAAGACAATACATTGGTTAATTATCCATGCCAGATCTACATATGGCTGGTTTTTAATCCCTCAATAGGGAGTCACCAACTACCACAATGTTTTTCTTCCTCTTGGTTTCTGTAACACATTTCCCAGCACCTGTTATCTGTGAATCTTCATTAGTACATGCTTTTACTAGAGATGGTCTACATTTGCATTTCACTGGGAGGGTTTCATAATTGTTATATAACTTCAGCAATTCAGATTTTCTTCTCTTTTCCTTTCTCTGCTATACTGTTTTCTTCAAATTACAAGATTCTTGACATTAGTATCAATAGCATCCATCTCATCAATTTCTCTCATTGGCTTCCTTAATAGAGCCATTGTCTCTCCTATACGTGAAAATTGTATCTTCTCTAATACATTAGAACAAAAAGAGATGTTTCTTAGGCTACTCATCTTGCACTCAAACTGGAAGTACAGCTTGCATTTCATCAACACATCATTCGTGAGTGCTTCTGGAAAGAAGAGAAAGGTAGCACACCTTTTGATCACTAGAATAATGCCTTTGGTTTCTGTACTTCTTGAAGGTCCAGCAATTTATGGCTCCCCTTGGAAATCCTCTTTTAAAAGTGCAAGAAGTCCACAGTCATTTCTTAAGAAATGGACTATTCCTTTCAGACAATTGGGTTGTTGGAACACAGAGCTTCACATAAAGTGTACTCTATGGAAAACTATCTGGAAGAGGGTTTTTGTTATTGTTTGGAGGGGTTGTTTGTTTTTTACTAAGACCCTTCTACTAAAGAAAATTTACCTTGACATAGGTGAGCACTCAGAGGCTAGTCATTACATTTTTGTTAAGATATAAAGGTCTCTGAAAAAGTTGGGCTCTAAAATATAAGAAGGCTAGTTCTGTACCTGCATAAAAATATAGTTCACGGGGATCAAGAGAGCTAGAAGGGATCTTAGACATCACCCCATCCAGTGTTTGTATCTTTCAGATTGGGAAGACAATGGTATTTCTAATAGCTTAAAAACTAAAACCATCTCTTCTCCCATGCTGTTTCCCATCCCCAACAAACTGACAATTATCTATGCCCTGGTAACCTTTCTTGGTAACCAGACAAGTAGCATATCTGAGGTAAATACTAACCACATCTGTTTCACAGCACCAGAGTTGGTGCAAAGAAGTCTGAAATATAATTTGCATACCAAGAATATCATTCCAGTCCTCCAAAGGTTGAAGGGTTGTCTTATATAAGATGGATTATAGTTGTTTTGCTTGACCCTGGAGAACATAACAAGGACCATCATGTGATCAAATTAATTTTTTTTAAATGCTTCATTTTTCTCTACTTTTCTCTGTTTTTAGAAAGCATTTGCCTGCTCAGAGGAAGATGATAGTCAAGGAATAAGTGACTGCCTCTTAATCTATGATGATGAAGGAGTAGAACCTCCTAGTTCTCCCGTAGGCTGTTGTAGTTTTATTGCAGATGATTTTGATGACAGCTTCTTGGATTCCTTAGGGCCAAAATTTAAGAAGCTGGCAGATATAAGCATGGGTATCGACGATGAAACCAAACTCTCTCAGGTACCTGGGAAAACAAACATTAGTATAGCTGAAATACCTGGATCACTGTCAGCATCTGCTATGTCCACCAATGCTACCTGTCAGTCTACGACCAATGCTACCTATCAGCCTATCACCAATGTTAGCTGTCAGTCTACTACCAATGTTACCTGTCAGCCTACGACCAATGTTACCTGTCAGCCTACCACCAATGTTACCTGTCAACTTGCTACAGGATCAACTTTCTATAGCAATGAAACTTCGACTCTCTCTGCTTCTGGGTCTATCTTGCAGCCTGCAATTCCAATACCTGATCCTTTGCTCCAGGGCAATTTCTTGGTGACTGAGTCTTATACTGCTTCTAGTTCATTCCTTCAGCCTTCCAGTGTAGTCTTTGATCCTCGGCTCACAGAAAATGTGACAGTGACAGAGAGAGTGATTTGCCCCATTTCAAGTGTTTCTGGCATTCAAGGCACCTTACATGGTTCTACTCAGTTGGCAGGGTCATGTAATGTGACCTGCACAGAGGATCCATGTTCTCGCCTGATATAACCAAAATTAATTGGAACGGAATAATGACAAAACTTGGCCATTTTGTCCTATTACATAGCCCAAAGACATTATTGGCTGTTTTTATCCAATGACTAGGATTATGACCCAAATTCTTAAACTCAGACAATAATATGTTGTTGTGGTTGATATAAAAACAATACTCGAATTATGCGGATTCTGACATCAAAAAGAAACCTAGTAACATTTTCACCAAGCAAAACTGTGTGAAGAAGTTTTGAATCATTCTCTTTTTGTAATGCCAATAAGGACAACATAGCATAGTACATAGAGGAACAATCACAGAGTCAGGAATACCTGGGTTCCAGTTCTGTCTCTGACATGTACTGGCTCTATGATCATGGATAAGTCCGTTTAGTTCATAGTCACCCGTACTACTCTCTAAGACATTAAGTTACAAACAAGTTGCTCATATGTGTTGGTGGAGGGAGTTTCTAGACCAGGCTTTCCTTAACCTAACAAAATTAGAGGTCCTAACAAAAAAAAAATGATGAAGACAAAATTAGTAGATTCATATTTCCAAAGCAATGTTTTTTTGGAAGAGAGTTCAGCCCCAACTTTCAAGACAGGAAAAATGGGATTTCTTCTTGACTGTCACCCTTTTTTATGCCTTACTATATTGTAGGCATCAAAAGCTGTCTTCAGAAGCACTTTGAGCTGCTAGAAGAGAAAAATAATAGTATATGTTCAATGTAGTCTGTCTCATCTCTGGTGTTGGGAGACATTTGTGCAAAATAGATATATGAAACCACCGTTGTTAAGCATTGAGCTTTTGTTAGATCTCCCATACTTATCAGAAAATAAGCAAATTGTATACTAAGGACATGCTGAAATATTTAAGAAATATTAGAAGTGTGTAAGCAAACTGTTGTTGATTTGTGAGCAATAGCTAATATATTCTATCACCTTGAAAGAACCCAAAGGTTCCATTCTATATTTGACATTTATGGCTTCAAGTACTTCTCATAGTGAGAGGTAAGTATGGTAATAAGTCTTTGGAAAAGGGCTCCATTTTTTAAAAAGTGTTAGTGGAAAGATGTCATCTGTTTAGGTGGTTGGCACATAATGGGGATGACATGAGTATTCTCATAGTAGGTGGCCCCTGATTATGATAGACATATTCATTGGCATCCTAAACAGCCTTTCAGGAAAACTTATCACCAGATCACTTTCTGATAAATCACATGGATGTGGCAAGGCATCAACAAGGATCACTTTTTAAATGCTAGTAGCACTAGCTCTACAGCTATGATAAATGCAGCAATTGTGTGCCCTGCCAGAGGTGGGTGAGTTGAGCTTTGAAAGGTTAGAGCATATTGCCATGAAGTTGAATATTGTTCTCTTAGTTTTTCAAGCCTTCCCACTCATTCAAGAAATTCAACCTTTAGATTATAGAGACTGGCATAGCCCACCCTTTTTATGCATATTCTTACCTTATTTGAGACCCTAAAAGCTCCATAACTTCTCGTTTTTCATAAAATGTATATTTGCTTTACTCCTCAGTTTCTAGACATAGTCCAGCAGATATTTTGTTACTTCCTTCAGATTCAATGGAAAGTAACAGAAATTGAGAACTGCTTATTATGGAATTACAGAATTGTTCTCTGTAGGAGAGCACCAACTCTACAATTAACACAGGTGAATGGACACCTTGCAGTTCTCTCTCCTGTGGCCCTTAATAAATGTTTGAATGTTGAATAAGTGAAAGACATTCAGTGCAACTCGATAAGTATTTACTGAATGTCTTCTCCAGCATCATATCTGCCCTACTCTTTCATCAAAGAGGTAGAAGTGGTTTACCTTGAAGCAGAAGAGGGCCACTACGGATATAACAGCAGTAGTAAAGAGAAAGCTGACATAGCACTGCCATTGGGAAGACTGTCAAAAAGAAACTGGGCCTAGGGAACACACAGCTTTGACATTATGTATATAAAAGTGCACCATTTTTCGTCAGTGGCCAAAGCGTCTATCTATGCACCTTTGGGGTAGTTTTACCTCCTTCCTAATCCTAGAATATCAGACTTCTTATGTAGTAAGAATGTGTTTTATTACATTAACAAGAAACAGAAAAAAAAACAATAGGAATTTGTATAGCATAATGGAAAGAGTACTGGATTAGGAACCCAAAGATGTAGATCATAGTCCTACTCTATCATTCACTGGCTGTATGACTTACCACATCTCCTTTTGCCTCAGTTTCTCTATCAGCAAATTAGGTGGTTGGACTAGATGATCTATAGGTCCTTTCTGATTCCATAGCTTTATGAATACTTGGGGGGAAAGGTTTCTGTTTGCTGTGGGGAGTGGAATTTTGTTTAAATAAGATGTTTATATAAGTGAAAAATTAAGATGAATTATGTTTTAGGTTGAAAAAGTGCTGTTCTTTGAGTTTCCATGTTGAATTAAATTCAACACTAAGATGTTTCTTATTTTGGTACTTTTTTTCACCAAAGTAAAATTTGAGGTAAAGAAAACAAGAAAAAAATTTAATATTTTTATTTGTATGTATTATTAATTCTAAGTAGTAAATGTGTATCCTTTAACAATGGAACTTTGTTATATTAAAATATTTTTGCCAAATTTCTGTTTTGTGAATATTTTCTTAATTATTTGATATAAATCAAAGCATTATCCACAAATCATGATTGTTGAACTCAGAGCTACAAGAAAATAAGAGTATGCCACTGGGGGTGGAGAGAACTGAAACTAAATCTGATTTTTTTAAATCAACATTTCACTCTTTCCCAATATTTCACTGTCACCCTTTCTTATGCCTTAATATGTTGCAGGCATCAAAAGCTGTCTTCAGTAGCACTTTGAGCTTCTTGGAGAGAAAAATGACAGCATATGTTCAAAGTAGTTTGTCTTATCTCTTAGTGTTGGGAGACATTTGTGCAAAATACAGGCACATGGATAGGGATAGGTCAGCCTCTGTTCATGCTCAGACCATACTGGGGATAGTCAAGACAGGAGCTTATGATTGGCTGTGGATATTAAAAGTGGTTCCTTTTTTTGCAATCTGTCCTTTAAGCAAAACCCTGACATTCCATTGGGAATGTGTCATAGAGGTGAAAAAAATAGGAAGAGAAAGAAAAAGAAGAGAAAGTACTCCTATTGTGCTAGAGAAATCTATCAAACCCAGATGCTTTTGCACTGGATGTGGATTGCATTCAAAGAACCCCTATGGTTTTAAAAAGAAAAATGCTGATCATTGTCAAAACAGTCTAGCCGATGCTACAGAAAGACATTTTTTAATTCAGACTTGCAAATAAGGTAAGTATAAAAAATGTTACCTATTTGCATAGCTCTGCCCAACTCACATCCAATTCATTCGCAAGTCAAGTCATTACCCTCCTGATGTCATTGTCGAGAATGAAGGGTGAACAAAAACAACCCATTTGCCATTTTTATTGGAAGCACAAGGAATAAGAAGAATAAAATCAATGTTTTATTACCCTAATTTTTGAAAATTAGTACTGGCCCAGTTATGTGGGTAAACTACTATTTGCTTTTGGTGAGCTGGAAGATTCAACTTGAAATGACCAAGAAAGTAAGAAATGCAAGGTAAGGACATGTCTCCCTCCTTCATACTACAAAAGGTGAAGCGGAAACTCTCCAATTTATGACCTATTCATATGTGCAGGAACACTGTCTGTGGGAGAAAAAAATTCAGAAGAAAGTAACAACAATAATTTAAATAAATTTCAGGCATCTGAAGCTGAACCATTTTTTATGAAAAATCCAGATCTCCTTTCTCTGCTTTTCCCAAACTTGGGTTTGCTGACATTTCAAGCATAATGTAAGACATTTGACACTCCTTGAGTGTTCTCTTTTCCTTTGGTTTATTTTATTTTATTCCATTTGCAAGGTTCGGGTTTTTTTTTGTTTGTTTGTTTGTTTTGCAAGCATCCAGAAATCTCATTGCAAGTTGGAGAAGTGAGTTAGAATCCATGGGAATAAAATTCCTATTTGGGATTGGGGAAGGGAATGGGAAATCTCTATGCACTGAGGAAAACACCAAATGACAATGTTTTTGTGTCAATCAATGATGCCTGAAGTGCATGAAAAATTAGTGAAATAGAGCAAATGTAAGCAAATATGGTATACTGGAACCCAGAGACCACCCTCTTGCTCTTTAATATACAGGCTTTGACTAGCCTCTTGGATTTGGTAGGCATCCAAGAGCAGCTATTCCTTACCTAAACAGAACATGGGAGTTGTGACAATCTGGTCTCCCCCATTAAAATGTGATTTCATTGAGGGGTGGGAGAGGGAACTGTTTTTGCCTTTCTTAATAAGTTTCACACTTAGTACAGTACCAGTGCCTAGTTTAATAAAATGCTTGTCAACTCACTGCCTTGGCCGTGCTGTACAGATGAGCAGGGCGCATATAAACACAGCTGAGATATGCAGATCATGTCTCCATGGTGACCAGCTTTCTTTCCCCATTGGTGTAGTGTTCTTCTACGTGGGGACTGAAGGCTGAACCCTACTGCCCCCAGTAGGAGATAAGCTTCTCAAGGACAAGGGCTATTTCATTTTGGAATGGGTTGTAGGTTGCTGTTGTTTTTAATTTTTATATCTCTAGTTCCTCACACAGTACCTGCTATTTAGAATCATAGACTTAGATCTAGAAGAGATCATCTAGGGGCAGCTAGGTGGCACAATGGATAAAGCACCAGCCTTGAAGTCAGGACGACCTGAGTTCAACTCCACCCTCAGTCCAAACACTTGACACTTACTAGCTGGGTGACTCAGGGCAAGTCACTTAACCTCAGTTGTCTAAAAAATAAAAGGTAATCATCTAGTCTAAGCTCCCTCATTTTACAGAAGAGGAAACTGAAGCTTAGTGAGGTTTAGTGACTTGACCAAGGTCTCATGCAGTAAATGTCAAACTTAGAATTCAAACTCAGGTCCCCAGTAACTGAATGTGAATTCAGTGTTCTTTCCACCATACCGCACTGGGCACTGAACAACTACTTGATGAGTTGAAGACACAATGATAATTCTGGGCTCCATAACTTAAAAAGCAATAAAGGAAACTATGAAAAGTCCACAGAACAATATAAACTACTGAAGGATTGGAGAAACCAGAACTAATTTGGAAGATTAAATTGGTTTGTACAATCTGGCCAAAACAATAGAGAAAGTAATGGGTACTTAGGTGTTCTGATTTCAAATGGGGTTAACTTATGGATGATAAGAACCAGCTCTTCTCCCATCTCAGCACAATATGCACAGTATAGGACTCTCAAAGGAACAACAAGCCCAGGTTACGTGAGTGAACAAACACTGACCTCACAGAAATGGCACAGAAACAAGATATCTCAGCTTTCATAATGATGGGGCAAGATTCCAAGTCCCAAGGGGTCAAGGGTAAAACCTCTAAGTCCCTACAAGGGAGCCAGAAGGAAATCAAGTCCCCTTGCCACATCTAAGAGCACCTCTTATTGGCTAACTACTGCCATAGGTACATGGCATCTGAAGAACATGGCTTGTCTAGGCAAGCCTGAGCCTGGTTTTGGGCTGCTTTTTGTGTGTTTGTCCTGTCTTGATCTTGGGCAAACAAGTAACAGTGCCATGGTTTACACATCCAGGTTAAGAGGCTGCCTTGTGAATTCAACAAGTCCAGAGGTCCTGGGTCCCATTCAATCAGAGTGCCCAGAAACTACTCCAGTACTCTTGGAGAAGACAGCTCCCGATATAGAGCATTAGTCCAGGGCGGACTGTTTTCTCAATAGGCATATACCAGGAGTTGTTTGGACAGCGCAGAACCAAGGTAAAACGTAAAATGCTTAGTCTTGGAAATTACTTTATGTTCTGATGAAGTTCAATTATCAGCCTCCCAGCAGATTCCAATGGCAGTTGCTGAAATGTGTTTGTCATTCTGTTAATGTGTGTTGTGAATCTTCTGTGTTTAGTATTTCTTTTGTGTGTGGTAATAAATTTGCTGTCCCATACCTGATTCATGTTGCACAACGAGTGCCTTTTTACTTCCCCATTTTAGGGAATCCCCAGATGTAAGCTATATCCTAAGCTATAGCCTGGTCAAACCACATGACTGTGCAAAACTAAGAGTAGGTATAAAATTCTAACAATAGATTTGTAAAAATCTTAACTTACAAACAAAATATTTCATGGAACCATTGTATTTTCATATTCCCATTCCTGTGAACCATTAAGGCAACAAGATGGTACAGTTGATAGAGCTCTGGACATAGAATCCAGAAGATCCAAATTAAACTCTGACCTCTGACTGTGGCCTCTGTCTACTCTATGTGACTCAGGGTAAGTCACTTAACTTTTGTTTGCCTCATTTTCCTCATCTGTAAAATGGGGATGACAATAGTGCCTATTAACAGGATTCTTATGAGAATCAAATGAGATAATAATTACATGCACTTAGCACAGTGCCTGACACAGAGTAAGCATTATACAAATGTTAGCTATCATTATTATTAATAGTACTTCCCTCCCAGGATTATTAGAGAAAATGACAAAATGAGACATTTGCAAAGTGCTTTGCAAAACTTAAAGCATTATAGAAATGTTAGCTATCATCATCATTATTACTATCATTACTATTATTATGTTACTATGAAATCTACGCTGTTTGTGTTCGTGTCACTAGTTTGGCATGACACAATGAAGAGCAGGTATCTGTTGCATTTCAGAACACGAGTATCCATTAATGATAATAATAAGAAGAAGCAAAAATGTGGTATTTAAAGGATTTAAAGATCTGTTTTTCTCAGTTTTTCCTAGTCTTTCATAATAAAATAAGAACACAACAGTGTTTTTAATTAAAATGTAATGGGCAACACATAACATTTTATATATTTAATGGTATTTATTTAATAGCTATGATATTTAGGATTATAAGTGGATATTAATACTTGGATGCATAGACAGATCTTTTTGAGTACTCAACTGTTTAAACACCCAAATTCTTAATCTAATTTTTTAAATGGAGGCAATAATAGATGTAGTAGTTGCCTCTCAGGGCTCTTGTAAGTATCAAATGAGAAAAAGGCAAACCTTAAAGTTGTCTTTCCCTCTCTGTACTGTCTTCTCTTATTAGAATGCAAGCTCCCTAAAGTCTAGCTTTTTGTATTTGAAATCCTAATATTTAACACAATTCCTGCCAAAGTAGACCTCTTTTCTTTAGGGATATCAGAGAAATCAATCCTCCCAGTCATGATCAAGAGTATCTTCCTAAGACCCCCAATACTTCACTTATGTGCTTTTTTTATGTGTTCACTCACTTAAATGTCAGTGAACTAAAAATTTCATTGTAGTTGCTATTATTACTCCAACCACTTTCACAAAACACAATCTCTCGCCCTGTGTTTTTTTCATCTTTGTATATATATATATATATATATATATATATATATATATATATATATGTGTGTGTGTGTGTGTGTGTGTGTGTGTGTGTGTGTGTGTGTGTGTGTGTGTGTATACATATATATATATATACATATATATATATGTATATATATTTATATATTGCCTTAAGGAACTATCCAATATGTTGGAAGCTTTGTTCTTTAAAAAATAATAACAAGTATAACTATCACAAAAAGGACAAACAACTACAACAATTATAATTTAAAGCTACCAGTGAAGCACTCATTCTCTTCATCTGTTCTATCTCACTCTTACTATGTGACCAACCCATATCCTTTCCTAGTCATACTCCCCTTGATAGTCATCTTTTCTTCCACTTTTCAAGTGAAATAATGATGGAGAGTGACCCCACCAATAACATGCACTTGCTATGAATTTTTCCATTACTATTTGAGTCACCTGCAGTTTTAACTCTTCCCTGAAGAGTTAAACGTCAGCAGGACAAGGTTAGAATTAAAGAGATGGGCCCCTCCATTCATAAATAGGCTGGTCCTCAGGAATTAGACTCAGTCTGTTCTCTAGATTGTACCCAAAGCCTTTCCAGCATCATGGAACCTCCCAGAACTTGTTTCTTCTGGCAAAGCCTCTGAAAGCCCAGCATCAATGTTATGTCACAGTAATGTATCTGAATAGAACTTCATTGAGAATGGATATGAAAACATTCTATAGCAATCATTTGTACTTTGAAACTATTTTTTCCTCCCAGAAACTGGCTATTCTTTGAAGGCAGACAATAATAATAAAAATAATTTATATTTACTTAGAGCTTCACAATTTACAAAGTACATTCCTATAGTGACATTGTGAAAAGTGAAAGAAGTATTATACATATCTTACAGACAAGGATACTGAAGTTCAGAGAATAGTTATCCAAGGTCACATAGAAATTGTCGGAGCAGGAACTTAAACCTAGAAAATAATCTAACTCCAATTCTAATGTTATTCTCATCATACTATAATATAAATAAATCCATCACACTCAGCCAGGTATATACATAGGACCGGGAATATGGAATACTTTAGAATTGACATAAGTGTACCTGGACTGACAAACAGGTTAAAACATGTTGCTCCTGTTCCAGCAACTCTTCAAGAATGTGAAAACATCATGTGCCTGTCAGGATGGAGTCATGGCTGCCCTTGAGTATTATGCTAGGAAATAATGAGCAAAGAAAACATTGTTAACAGATACAATAAGCACTACATCTTTGCTGAAGAAATTGTTGGTTACACAGTATGGCTGGATTTCTCAGTAACCATTTTCTATAACTTCCTATTTTACTCCCAGCACCAACATAAGCTAAACTTGTGTCTCTATTCATACGATAATAAATCCATTCAAAGCCCTGGGAATTTTTTTAAAACTAAATTGACTCAAAATATAATTATTTCTGAAATAAACACACAAAATAATAAAAGTGGTTTAACTACTGAAAGTGCCCCTGGAGGGTTGCCCTTCTCTCCTTGTCCTTTCACTGTGATGATGAAGATGCTTCTTTGTAGGGACTTTTGAAATTAAAATATTTGGTCTGTGTCTACATATGCAAATAAAGATTGATGGATGGAGATCATTTAGCTAAAATTGCAATTGATGGAAAAGCAGCGTCTTTTTTTCTGAATCATTTGATATGACTATTTCCATGGATCTATCACTAGATGAAAGACAATTCTGGATTTCATTTTCCCTGGCAAAGCAGATATAAGGCTTCCAAATAGAATGGGGCGCGGTGCTTAAATTTTCTAGCCTACCTAGCTGCATTGTTCAAATACACTAGATAGCTATTAATTTCCCCCTTCATTTTACAATGTGTTGAGAGAATTTTAGGGTTTTTTTAAGTTTTGTTGTTTCTTCCAGGCAGACTTAAAATATCTAGGACATAAAGACTGAGCAAAATGTTTTGAAAAACATGTCCTGTACTTCATTCAAAAAAAAAAATGATGCTATTTGTCCACCTCAGCAGGACATTAACTAGTGGTAATGATGGCTTGTGTTGAAGCATTCTTGCTTTCTTGTATTTCCCTTGTGATAAATGGTCAGCCATTACAAAATGATTTCCCAAAGGTAGAGGTGAAGTTTGTGGCCACAGAACAAAGTACTTCTTGGTACAAGGCTAATTAGCCCACTGAAGCAAGCCTGACCCTATTATACATATCTATCTATCTATCTATCTATCTATCTATCTATCTATCTATCTATCTATCTATCTACCTATATACACATATATACACACACACACACACACACACACACACACACATATATATACACACACACACACACACACACACACATATATATATACACACACATATATATATGACTTTGTATTTACTCTTCTAACTTCTCCTTCTAATGCCCTTTTCTTATTCAAGTTCCTCCCACATTCCCAATGGTCTTTCTCTTTGTGGTCTCACTGATCAAAAACTGCCCTTAGCTAAGTAATCATTGGAAAAGCTAAATTAGTACTAAGCTATAAATGGGTCTGAACACCTTAATAATTTCTTCAAGGGATAAACATTTCAATGGTAGACAATGCCTTATAATTCCCCCTCCCCCCAGAAAAAATGGAGCTAAGTAGTAAAATTTCAGGGACAAACAAAAGTATGACATGTGAACCATTCTGTGGAGGGAGTTTTCCCAGAGACCTACTAATCATAACACTAGGTAGATACCTAGTGGCCCTAGGCATAAGGCCAACTTTGCATAGAATTGAATTAGTGTCATTGAGTTTCTTCTCTATTAGACAAAGCAATAAAAATAAAGAGAAATTCAGTCTGTGGTCCAGTATCTTGATGAATTTTAAGTATCTAAAAACCTATTAACAAAAGACCTTCATCCAAACAGTGTTACTGCTGGCAAACTTTCTTGCACCCTCACTAAATTAAGAGGAATTATGAAATATAATCTATGGATTGATGCTTCCAATTATTTTTTCAATTTTATTTATTTTATTCTGAGCTTAAGAAATAAAACAAGCATTTCCATAACTTAGTAGAATAGGGAAAAAAAGATGATTATACATGTTTTTATAGACAGATTTTTTTAGATAAAGGTCTCATATCTCAAATATATAAAGAGCTCTGTCAACTCTATAAGAATACAAGTCATTCTCCAATTGATAAATGGTCAAAGGATATTAACAGGCAGTTTTCTGATGAAATAATCAAAACAACTTATAGTCATATGAAAAAATGCTCTAAATCATTATTGATTAGAGAAATACAAATTAAAACAGCCTTGAGATATCATTTTATACCTATCAGATTGGCTAAAATGATTGAAGGGGAAAGTGACAAATATTAGCTGGGATGTGGAAAAATTGGGACACTAATTCACTGCTGATGCTTCCAACCATTGGAAGTTCGAGGCAGGTAATCATTTAATCTAACTATGATTATGTGCTATATCAAAACAATGCCAACTCATCAACCCAGTTTGGTAACATCATAATCATCAAAGCAAATTTTTGCAGAAATCATTGTTTTTACTCTTTCTACACCATTTAACACATGAGCTGGTCAGCAAATTTACCCATGACTTCAGATAAATGCTACTAAAAATCTAGAAAAAAAGATAATTAACTGGATATACTTTCTTCCTCTTTCCCACGCGGCCATTGAAAAATTAGTCACCAGCAGGTTCTGTTGATTTACCTTTATCGCAGTTGACTCAGCATGAAAGGGTGTGACTCTATCCAAAGTCATGATAAAGTTCAAAAACCATTTAGCCAGACATCTCGTTAGGAAAATTCTAACGATAGGATATTATGAGAAACCAACAAACAACTGCCTAGCAACAAAGACTGAGTTTCTGTGCTAGGTAAACAATGAATGTTAATCATGATAGAAAAGGGATCTTCTAAGCACAAAACTCCTAGCACAAGCCAGTTGACTATCTTGAGATTATAGTCAATTCTCAACTATCCAGAGTAATTTCACTCTATTGCCTAGCTTGTACCCAGTCCCAAGGCCTGCCTTTTGTTAGAGAACAGAAAGTGAGAAAAGAGTTGAAACTCTAAGGATCAGTCCAGTTAAATATACAGAATAGATAATAGAGGCAAAAGCTGTCCTCAGCCTAAATCATTTGCATAGTTGACATAATTTTCCAGTTCATTTTGCATGGGTAGCTGTGACAGACACTTGGCAGAAAAATTAATATCACTTTTCATGTTTATATATTTATTTGCATTCATTATAAGAAGAAAATACCCATGCATAAATAATAATTCATTGCTACCTTGCCCCAGAAAAACCCTTAAATAACATTAAGTAAATATGAAATATCAAATCTAGTCCCTCCCCCAATAATTGAATTTTCAAAGTGAGGGGGCTGGGGTTAGAAATTTGGCATATTTGGGTCCTTGTCTCATGATATTGGATTTATTTAGCGTCTTCCTCCTAAGGAGTTTGCCATCATCACTTTTATGCAGGATGGGGCAACACAACTATGTCATCCTTGCATCCTCCAAAGCTACCAGCTTATTGTACTCTTGTCATTGTAAATAATAACTCCATTCTTTCTCATGTCAAATAAGTGAAATAACTACCAGGAAACTAATCTCAGCTCTGTCTTTTGAGCCTTTTTCAACAAAGTAACTCCATCTCCACTAATCATATCCAGTCAGCAGTGACTCTCTTAGTCCTGACATTCTCAGTAAATGCTTATTCTTCCCATACAACCTGGCCAAGCCTGTGTGCTTATGTGGCTTGGGGTTGGATTCCTTTATAGCACCACTGCTAATAAATAATCACTTCTGTCTATGATCACCTAGGCATTGCCCTTATCGGCTCAAGAATTTCCAGAAACAATTTCTGTTATGCATAGCTTTACTCAGAATTTAAATTTAAAAACAAATCAGGATCTTTGGTGTCTAACAATTCATATAACACTTTTCAGCTGGCAAAGCAGTTTTGTTTTTTGTTGGTTTTTTTTTTTTTGCAAACACTGTACAAATATAATTATTCCCATTTTAGAGATGGGAAAATTGAAGTTTTGAGATTGTGACTTATCTATGATCATATAGCTGACAAGTATTTGAGGTGAGACTTTAACCCATGTGTCCTGATTCTGCTCTGTCCCATGTACAAAGCTATCTTTCAAACATACCTTCTTCTTAATTTACACTGATTTTCTGCTATATTCTCTTACTATCTCCCCACTTCAAGACAAGGTGTAAAGGATAGCGCATATTTGAGGAAGGCAATATTAATCAAATGTTAGCTGAGGGGAAATTATACTAAAGGATAAACTTGTCTTCAGTGACACCTCCTATACACTCGTACCATATAGTTTTGTCCCCTTTACCCTCTTCAGTAGCACTCCTTCCCCACCTCCCACAGGTACCCAGTGCACTCTTGATTTCTCTCCCTCCAATTACTGTCTTTCCCAACCCCCAAAAAAACTGAACTAAGAAAATTATCTGACAAATTATTAATATTGAGGTATAGATGACTTACAACAGATTTAAATATGTTCCTACTAGAAGCATTTACATTTTAATAATGTACTTAAGTTAAAGAAATTGAGCTCTAACTTTGGAGTTTCAGGATCAGTGGTGGGGAGGAGGAATATTTCTGAGAATAACAGTCTTCTTGGTTGCCTACTCTAAGGATAAGATTGACTTTTAGTATTCCTTTTAGTATTATATTGTATTTACATGTATAATAAACAGATAACAGAAACTTCATTAAGGCTACAAAACCTCTTAATGTTATAACACATTTAGGCTATCATGCATAAGACCTATAAAAATAAGAAAATCTATACATCACTTGGTTCCAAAGATGTTTAATTTTGAATTATCTGCTGTAGCAGATTTTGTTTTATAATTTATAGTAACTCCCTTAATCTCCTTCCTTACAAACAAACAAAAAATCCTGAGGTTTTGAGGGACTAGAGACAATGTAGTTACTATCAGCTTAACTCATAGGGAGTGTATTCTGTCTTGGAGAGATGGGTGGCGCAATCAGGCCCTGTGACTCACCTGCTTTGTGGGTATTCCTCACACTTTCGGGTGGGAGTGGTTTTGTGGTGTACTTTCGTGGCTGAGACTACACTTTTTCCATCTGTTGCACTGATTTTTTGCTATGAATTAATTATATCCTGAAGGTCTATTTCAAAGAGTAACCAACATTTGTTAGTTCTTTTGTTT